AGATGAGGAACTGATAATGAAAGGAGAACGCATTATTCTTCCTGAGAGTTTGTGGGACATTGCCCTTGTAAAAGCCCACCAGGGAGGTCACCCTGGAATGAACAGCCTTAAACGCCGCCTACGCAGTCATTTCTGGTTCCCAAAAATGAACCAAAAAGTGGAAGAGAAAGTGGCATCCTGTAAAGAATGTCAACTATTTACAAACAAGACAATGCACGAACCCATTCAATCTCACAGAACGCCGGAACATGCATGGCAAGATGTAAGCATTGATCTGTTTGGTCCTATGCCCGACAGTAAGCATGTGTTGGTAGTTCTGGATAAAATGAGTCGATTTCCTGCAGCAAAGCTTGTCCCAAACACCGCAGCTAAGCCTGTCATTAAAGCATTGGATGACATTTATACAGATTTCGGTTATCCTGAAATGCATCGCACAGACAATGGACCACCATTTGATTCAAAAGCATTTGCTGAATTTTCCCAAGGCAGCGGTATTGATCATGTTAAAACCTTCCCGTATCACCCACAAGCAAACCCTGCAGAAACATTTATGCGTCCTCTCGGAAAAGCGTTAAAGGCGGCCCATTTCAATAAAAAGGATAAACATACAGCTATTAAGGAAGTCCTAGCAACATATCGGGCGACGCCTCATCCTGCAACGGGAGTACCACCGGGAGATCTCTTGCTTCGTAGTGGGTATCGAAAAGATTTTCCGCGACGGCAACTGACTGAGCAACAGATACGCGAGGCTCAGATGCAAGACAGAGCACAACGTATGTCTCGAGAGGACCAAATGAACAGGTCGACCCATAGAAAGAAGTCCATCTACACTCCAGGGGATCTTGTGTACATACGGAACATGCAGCGGTGCAAGTTTGATCCCATCTTTGGGCCAGAGCTGTATAAAGTCCTGTGCACAGAAGGTAGCGGCCTGTTACTAGAAAGTTTGGCTGATAATAAAAGTTTCAGAAGGCACTGTGATGACGTAAAGCCTGCAGTTAGCCAAGGAAAAATCGAGGACCATACTATTTGGATAGAGAACCAAGCCCATCAAACAGAAAACACGAACAACCAAGATCCGGTTCCAGACATGACAGAAGAGCCAGTAATTGCCCCAGCTGGCGTTACTGCGCAACATCCAAATGAGGACAGGGCTACAAGACCTCGGAGGGAAACTCGTTTACCTGCTAGGTTCAAAGACTACGTCCGTTACTAAAAAAGGGGAAGTGGTGTTGTGTCCGCCATTTTTGGGTTGTTGTTGTTGGAAGAGGAGGAGGAAGGCAGAAGGAGGGACTGCAGAGACTGACTGAGACTGTTTGCTTTGCAACTGTTATAATGTGATACTTGTTGTGTTATTTACATATATACATCAACAGCAAAAGGATGATGTCTGGTTTTCTTGTCTCGGAGACTTTATACTCCTGAACCGTGGAATAGAAAATCTGTGAACCAAAAAAATTCACCCTCATTGATACCATACTGAGGGAGTTTTTGAAGTAGGTTTGCTGAGATCAATAAGTATCAAAGGCATAATGGTATCAAATGAGTATAATGGTATCAAAGGCTTTGCTTAGATCTATAAACGTTGCGCCTACCAGTTTGCCTCGATCGACACTGTATCGAATTTCATCTATCAACAGGGTTGCTGTTAACTATATAACACCCAGAACGTCTTAAAAAATTAATATTATCTTACTGATAAAATTGTCAATATATGTTGGGAAATAAATTAGATAAAACCAATCTGTCAGTTAGATTTCACATAGATTTCCCAAAAGCGTTTGATTCGATTCATCGTGATAAAATGCCAGAAATCCTAGACTCATATGCTATACCAGAAAAGAACATCAAGGCAATAATGATGCTTTGCAAAAACACTAGATCAATGGCTCGCTCCCTTGCTGGGCCCTGATGGGGACACAGACTTTTTTGACGTTGTTGCCGGAATCCTACAGGGAAACATATTAACTTCATATCAGAGGCGGATACAGAATAAAAGTTGACGGTCGCACATTAATACTAACATTAATACAGCAGGCGGTCTAGGGGGCCCCCACGTGTTCAAGGGCGGAGCCATGATGGGGGCCGAGCCCCCCGGAACCAGAGCAATTAGATCTAATTTTAAAGGCAAAAACCCTAAAGTTCACAATGCTAATTTTTTCAACCACTTTAAATAGAAGGAATAATTTCTTCTTTTTTAAAGAAATGCATCATAATTTTTGGTCTAGAATATTTTCTAACTGCGATTTGTCCCGCTAAGCAAGACTGATACACTTTGATCGATGAAACGCCTAAATGGATGTCCTTTTCTTTAGGAGCGGAAGTTGGCTCACCAACGAGGTTTGCAGGCCTTGCAGTATAGTTTTGAGAGTGGCGACGGGACTGGGGCCCTGAAACGCTCAAATTTTTCAGTCAAACATTTTTCCTTTGAAAAGGTTTTCCAGATTTTCCAGCAAATCCAACACGCAGTTGAAACAAAATCTTGAGATTCAGAAGTGTGCACTTCCTGTGCACCTCTTCCTTATAGATAAAGAAAATTGGGATTCTTCTCTTTTACAACTTCCAACCTCATTCACTTTCTTATCTTCCGTTGCCAGCAGTTGTGTGGCACAGTAATCTAACATAGTGTTTACAGACTTTTCGTGCCGCAAAAATATGTGAAAACTTGAATTTTGATTGGCGAGATTTGGTAAAATATTTGCATAACAAATAGCCCTGCATATTTGTGCGGCACGGGCAACATGCTTGAAAATCATACTGTTTACGGTCTAGGATGGTCTTTGCAGCATTGTGTGTGCGATCGACCAAGCTCGGTCCTGTGTTTATTGTGTAAAGAGAGGTAAATGTATTATCTGTAGGGAGGAAAATAAAAGATTACCTATTACGTGTCGCAGTAGACTCTCAGCCAAACCTTGGTCAAGATATCCCGCCAAATACTTTACTCATGTCGATTACGTCAATGATCTCACCCTTCTCTCAGATTCAAAGACAGTGGCTGGAAAACTGCTAAAATGTTTGGAAACACTGTCGAAGACAATCGGTCTCACCTTCACCATCAATGTTGTCAAGAATCCATTCCTTAGAAGTTTAATCAAGCCTGTTAATGATTTTGTATACCTCGGCAGTCTTGTTAAATCTACTGAAAAAGACATAAAACTCAGGAAAAGGGAAAGCCTGGAGCGCCTGAACAAGTTAAGTTGCATCTGGAAATCTGGCTTATCAGATGAAGCGATTCGATTAAACTTTCTATTAACTGTAGATTCAGTGCTCTTATATGGATCATCAGCCTGGACATTGACACGCTAACAGGAGAAGCCTTTTGATGGGACATACACTAGAATGCTTCGGGCCATCCTAAACATAGATTGGGAAACCCACCCAACACTAGCCCAGCTGTATGGAGACATTCCAAAAGTGTCAATGGAACAACGAGAAAGAAGAGCTGGACATGCTTGGCGCAGTAAAGAAGAGGTAGTCAGCGATGTCTTGCTTTGGAGACCGCTTCTCAAAGACAGTCTCAAAGAGGCCACACAGCAAAAACGTACATTGACCAACTTGCATATGATGCCGGATGCCTTGAAGAAGATTTGCCAGGACTGATGGAAGATAGAGTCGAATGGAGAAGTAGAACAACTTGATCTGAAGAAGTAGAAAAGAAGAAAGGAAGAAGTTAGATTTCGTAGAAAGAAAGGAAGTAGTCATTTCTTGCCTCGTTTTCACTTTCATTTGGCATTATATGGTCACTATCGTTGACCTTTTGCAGTGCACACCACACCGCAATTTGTGTTTGGAAGATCATTCCTTCTTTTGCTGATGTATGCTGGTATTGGCTCGCTTCTTGGCCTAAGAATAGTAGATGTTATAAAGGAGAAGATTTCTCCAGTTGCATTGTTCATTAGGGAGCAAACGAAAGTAGTTTTTCTTCGCACTGCTGTTATGGACGGGCCTAAGAAATCGGCGGGTTTTGGTGCCGTAGATATGTATGTTGAGGTGAGGCAGCCTGCGGTTGAATCAATTACACAAAAATTTTAGCCTTGACTTCAACTTGATGTTTGCTCTAAATGTTTGCTTGTTTGACTTAAAAGAAAAATTTTCAAATTCAATACTGAACAAATACTGAACTAGATTTTGTGCAAAATCTGCAAATGACTTGCTTATGACATTGCGTGGAAACAGTGGTCTGGTGCATTGCTTGATGTCTTAGAATTGAAAAGGCTCAGTGTAGTATAATAAACAGGGGTGACTGGGAGCGTTATTAACGTTATTAGTCTATTAGCAAATTTTTTCAGCAAAGGCTCTCATAATCTACTGGTCATATGGCTTTAAAATGAAATTAGCACTTGAAAATCATCGGCGAAAACAGTTCATTTGGATACCCAACTGTTTTCATGCCATTTTGCAATGATATGGCATGATATGGCCATGGTACAGTGAGCAGAAGCCACCACTTTTGATACTGATTTGATCCTTCCAAAAAAAAGCCTCCCTCCTATGCCTGTCGCGACACTTATTGTGATGCATCCATCTGACAGCTCCAAACAAATACTACAGCCATAGCGCTAAAATTTTGCTAAATAGGTTTGTTAATCCTAATAGCAACTTTCTTTTTGTGTCTCCTTGTGTGACGTAAAGTGGCCAATCATGCTGTTGTGAAAGACCCCATATATGCGGACTTGCTATTAGCCAGGTCACTTCTAATAGCAAGATTCCTCTGGACAGAGGGCCTTTTCACTGTAAGCTGATGGTATTTATCTGCATGCCTCAAGCCAAAGCCTACAGTCATAATTGAAAGACTGAATGCGTAGACATGACTTTGGAACTGTAGATGAATTCCAATGGAGGTCGAAGATCAGTTAGTAAAAATTTGAAAAAATGTCTCTGACTTTTATCTAGAACTAAGAAACGTGTTGCAACTTTACAATCTTTTTGGGATTAGTATCAAAATAAAAGCTATAAGTCTGACAATGGGCCATGTTGCCCTGGAGCTCATATATACCTCTGATCGTGGCCATAGCCCCCTCCCCCTGATTTTTTACTTTTCTCTTTATGATTATGAGATAGAGAGTGTTAAAATAGAGAATGGAAAGGCGTCTTTGACTTGTGGCCAAGAAAATCAATTGCAGTGTTGAAAACAACCATTGAAGAAGGTATGGTTGAAAGTAAAAACAGCGAGAGCCTCATTCTGATGCCACAATTTTCTCTAATGGCACTTTAAAATCTCTCGCAGCCACCCCTGATAGAAAACAACTACCTGTGCCATGCCTGTGGATGTTTGCACCCTCATTTTAAATGTACACTGTGAAGCAATATAAATTGTATCAAGTGTCCATATGTTCAATTCTGCAGACAAATACAAATAATCTAGCAAAATAAGATTACCAATACAGTCAAACTCGCATAAGTTGGATCTCTTCATGGTCCATATACAAAATATTTTGTTTGCAGATATGTTTCATTTCAAAAATGTTTCTCAAGGGAGCTATTTAATGAAAATATTTTGGTTTTGCTACAAAAATCTGACTTATGCCATGCTAATTTCAGAAGGAACTTGAAAAAATAGTCTGACTTATGAAAATATCTCATTAAAATCCATCTTATAAAATGAAAATTCATAGCTTTTATACCAAATGGACCAGCATTTTTGTCCAAGTAATGAATTATTTGACTTTTGCAAGATTGACTTTATTTTGAATTTGCTTGCATGCTTCTGAGAAAATATTATTTTGACTTTGACCAGGCCTCCTCGTAAAGATTTTAGCAAGTGCATGGCTGATTGTGTGTCTCAAAGCAAAATTTTTCATAGTACTATTGATGCTACCCTAATTGGCGAATGCTGCAATTAAAAGATGATTCCCAGTGCAACAAGACAAAGTTTCTGATAGAAAAAAATCTTTACAAAATGCAATGGCAGAGGCAAGCAATATTGCTACTTTTTGAGAAGCAGGTGTCTGACAAAATGTGCCATGGCTTCTGCTGGTTCTAAAAAAGCATTATTGGTAGAATATAGAGTCTTGATGTTTCACAAGGTCCCTAAGCAATCATTTTGTTTGTCTCAGTTGTGGCTATTATAAGATTGACAGTTTCAATTTATGGATCAACAACAACTTTATGTATCAACAACAACAACTTTCTTTTGCAGAATAATCAGAAAATTGGTATTGGAAGTGGTTCAACGATTGTATTTGCTGTAGAGCGCATAGGTATTCATGTTTAAACAAAATTTAATTTATCTGTAATTCTGTTGATACAATAATTTATCTCAAGTCGTTGAAAATGAGATGTCTCTTTTTTATGTTGTTTGTTGATCATCTTTGGGGCATCATACCCATGTGAAAACATGCTGTGCTCATGGGTCGTAAAAAAATTGTTTATTATTTCATTTCTAATCTGAGAAACCTTTTCAAATTAAACTTTTTCTGTTCAAACTGACAATTTTCTCACTTCTCTCTGCTCTTAATTCTTTAGCTGAAAAAGTGAAACTAGAAGGACTGACAGTTGAATGTGTACCTACCTCATTTCAGGTAAATGTTCCTAGTCAATCATGGTTAATCATCAATCAGTCAATCAATTTTAAGCTTCAGTGACAGCTTGTTCCTGTGATTGCTATTTGCATACTTGTCATGCCCAGAGATACAAATTCAATGTTCATGGAATATATTTTTGCAGTTGCAAATTAAGACAACTATATTTTTGTGTCTCTAATTGACAACACTTTGATGTGCTCTCACAAAAGTTTATATTTTTTTTCTTTGCAACACCCTCTCAAGTTATATTGTGTCGAAACTATCAAGCCATATAAGGCATGCTTTTTAGTCTTTTTTGCATTTTTTGTGAAGCTCAAATTTAGTCTATTCCTCACACAATTTTTATAGTTCTCTCAAAGGGCCATCATGAAATGTGTGCAAAATCTTGTATGAAAAATATTTTGCAAATATTTATTCCTTTATATTGTGTAAATCTACTCTTTGTTGATTCCTTTTTATTTAGGCTAGACAGCTAATCACTGAAGCTGGCTTAACACTGAGTGACCTTGACAGGTCCCCTGAGGTATGGTATATAGCTTCATAAATGACAACTACGTGTTGCTTAAATTCTGCCTATTGACTCTGCTTATTTATTCTGCTTATTTATTCTGCTTATTTATTCTGCTTGTTGCTAGCAATTGATTCTTGATGCTGGTAAATTTAATGAGAAATTCAAATATGGCTTAAACCAGATGCTGCTCTTTTGTTGAAAATATAACTTGTTTGTGAACACTTACTGAAGAGATAATGTACAGGTAATGATATCATGCAAAGAGAATCTTCATATGTGACTGCTGGTAGGAAATTACTTTTAAGGATTCCTGAAAGACCAGCAGTGCCAACTTGCTTACTCTGCTGGATCTACTGGATACAGACCAGACTGGTCTGACACAGAGCCACACATCCATCCCACCATCCCCCAGTTCTCGACAGGATTTATTTTGTGTTTTGTGTAAATTTTATGAGAAAATGTTCCTGGAGGGATAATATTTTGGCAATATGTTTTTTGTTATGTAATCCAATGATTTTCAAACTGCCTTTACATAACCAAAAGTTAGTCATGGGCATTCCTTTCAGGTAAAATTGACCTTCCCTGTTGGTAAAAGGGCGTTTTCTGGTGGTAAAAAGGGCATGGCTTGAAAAGTTTTGTTTTGCCTAAAATCTATCAATTATATTATGGAGAAGGATTGTTGTCTTCTGCAGCTTAAAAAATATTTGATAGGACAATTCTGCCTATCTCAAATTCAGTACCAAATGTGATGGTGTACCACTGGTTTATCATTTAATATAGCGTATAGTGGGTATCGGATTAAACTGACAAGAGACCTGTCGATGGAAAAGGTCCTATGAATAGAAAAATATCCTCTTTTCAAATTAATTTGGTTTTGCTTGGATGTCGTCGTTGGTGCACCCATGTATAAACATCCGTCTACCATCTCATTCTGTCTTCAGTTTTTCACAGTGCTTCCATTAAGCCCAGATCAGTCCATTGTCTAATATCAACGCTCCAAATTCTCTTGGGTCTTTCTACTTTTCTGCTTCCTTCTACTTGCCCGTGCATGATTGACTTCCAGATGGCTTTTTTTTCCTGGTCACGTGCCCAAACCATTTTAGCTTCCGCGTTTTTACAATATCCAAACGGTCATCAATATATAACCGAAAAAAGGCTATTTGATTTAGAATTATCTCCCAGAACAGCAAAAAGAACAACAAAACAAAACTTTGCTTAACAGATCACCGAATGAAAGTTTAAACCGGTCGGCATTAGATACTTGAAACAAACAGTTGATTTTGTAAATGCTGCTAAAAAATGATCTAGAAGACGAAATGCATTTCATACCCTATCTGCTTTGGATGTGATTCAGATATATTAATAACCATTTCCTCTTCATGTACGCAATATGATTATCTCTCTAAGAGACAGATGCAATCTGAAAAGATGCAAGCCGAACAGATGCAAACCTATTCGATTTATGTGCTCGAAATAAGATTCAAGTTTTTCAAGTTTTGTTCTAAACATGTGTGAACCGGCGGCCTTTCGGTATATAAACAGCGCCAAATGTGAATCATTGATGAGAAAAAAAAAGAAAAAAAAATTTATGTGCTCGTTAACACGTTCAATTGCAATTTAGCACCGGTCGTATCAGTAAAATTAAATGTTGGAAAGGACGCCGCCAATCTTAGCCACAATTTTTGTTAATGTTCTAATGTATTGTGTTTTTATAGCCTTTCTATGGCTACTTCAAATGAAAGAAAGTATAATATTACTACAACCTTAGTTTCGAATTTTTATGGACCCGTAAGCCAATTGATTTTGTCAAGCAAAGGACCTGGGATTGCCACATTGCCACCCAGCAAAGGGCCTCATAATATTCACACTATCGGCCTTTGTAATTCGTAAGTGAAGGATGTGTAAGAATTCTTTTTTTACGTTTTTCTAAATGATGTCGTGATACAGTAGGTTCCCGCATATAAGAAACCCCCTTGTATAAGTAACCAGCCTCAAATTCTTTCCAAAGGGCTCCTTTCATAAGAAACAATTTTAGGTCTGAAATTGAATTGTTTCTTATTTTCAGATCCATCATACTTTTTTCCTGTATGCCAAAAAATAATCCGCTAAATTTTGTAATGCAATGTAGTGTTCTCAAACAGAATTAAAATTATTAAAACTGAAGATTTTTTTTAAACAAGTACTGTGCCGAAAAATACTGTAACAGTTCATTGAATCTTTTTTTCAATAAGCAACTGTATTCTACCTCTTGTCTCCACAGTGTATCTCACCGTATCCTAAAAACTACTTTATACTTATAAGGTGCACATTTATAAGAAATTTAAAACACCTTTTGCAGAGGAAATAAATTATTTTAAGCTTCTTTCAATAATAAATAACATAATTTAGCATAACCAAACACGGTCCATCACTTAAAGCTTATTTAAAAAATGTGTAAGAAACTCTAACCCTGATTATAAAAAGGTATCTTAAAATAAGAAACGTTCTGAGGCCTCAATTTAAAAAGTGGTTTCTTTTATGCGAGAACCTACTGTAGTAAACAAGTTTAAAAAATTACTTTTCGCTTAGAGTGTAAAGTCGCAATTTCTTTAGAAAAAATGGCAAACGTTTGACCTAAAATGACCCAAAAGCAAAATATTTTTAATGTACGAGAGATCTTCAACCGTAAAAAATCAGCTTCGATTTGATTAAAAAGTTTTTTTTTTAAAATACTGCCATGTTTTATTTTTGTCAACCAGAAATTAATGTCTTTGTATTCAAACATTTCATCGTTCATCCAAATGGCAGGCACTTGGCAAATCATCAGGGCCAGCTTTTATTCCTTTAAAATAGTCTTCTGCGAGTTGTCTGTCAATACTTTTAAGTTATTAGAATATTTTAAATTGGTCTGTTGCAGCTTGATCTCGCAATTGATGGAGCAGATGAGGTCGATGCGATGCTAAACTGCATTAAAGGTGGTGGGTAAGGACATTGGCTAAAGAAAATTGAACATTTGAAGTTGTACTATTTTGGTTAACAACACTGGCTTCATTGTGTACAAGATGTGGCAACTGTATTTAATAGAACTTGGTTTGAATCTGTGAAAAGTTCTTTGTATATTTCCACGATACTTCGAAATTTTGGTAGTTTGCGGATAACAACGTTTTTTGTATTGTCACTGATAATTTTTTTACAGTAGATGAAACAGTTACAGTGGGTTATTGATAAATGTATTAATGAATAATTGTGTAAAATGTTATGTTCAAATCGATCTGGATGACGTTTTCTAAACTTCTATTCTTGCGAGCTCATGTAGACGATACAATGCTGGATACAATGCTGGATACAATGCTTGATACAATGCTTGATACAATGCTGAATGCTTTTATTTTGAACTCTTGGTATTTCTATTTTTAGTGGCTGCTTGACGCAGGAAAAAATTGTTGCATCGTGTGCCAAGAAGTTTGTTGTCATAGCCGACAATAGGTATTTTCTTTATTTTTTGTGCATTTTATTATTTTCATGCAAGTGATATTTTTCTTGCACCTAACTCAAAGCTCAGTGTTTAAATAATTTTGTATTCTCAGTATAATGATAAAAGTCAGATTGAAATCAAAACTCTTATGCATCGGAAGTTTTGTTGACTTTTTTGTTCCATTCTAAACAATAGCAGCACCTGTTTTTGTAAATATTTATGTTTTTTTGACAGAAAGAAGTCGGAAAAATTTGGCCAAAAGGTAAAGTTTGTTTCGTTTAAGAAATGATACCATGGAAATTCTTTTGAAACTAAAAGGATGATTTTGCCTGATTATATTGAAAGGTAAATAAATATTTTAACAGGGATATAGTTGCTCAAATCGTTAGTGATATGTACCTTGACGAATGTTTGCATTAAGGTTTGATGAATTTGTATTATTTAAAACATATTGCACCTTTTTAGTTTTTCTTCATCTGTTCCACTGCGATTTCGTCCCACATGATCGTTTGGTTGCCACCGAAAACTACAAAAAACCTCCAATTCAATCATCGTTTTCCTTTGACGTTTGGGCTGCGATTCACAGCATACCTCACCTCACCAAAATGTAACCAACGCGTTACATCGAATTCGGTGAATTACAGCTACACCATCAACGTTTTTATGGATGAAAAATTTACGATTACAAAAAAGAGCATTATCATACTTTAGAGCAGCATGGATTTAGGCTCTTCACGGTCGATAGTCTTTAGGTTCTACATACAGCCCAATTTGTGAGCCTTGTACAGTCGTCCAAGGCAATGTGTTTCACTTTTGAAGCAACGAATCATTGTCTCTTTTTGTCTCATAAATGTATTATTTTCTCTAATTTTCTTCTAAAGTGGACAAAGGGTGTGCCTTTGGAAGTGGTTCCCATGGCATATCAACCCGTTCTTAACAAACTCAAGTCGATGAGGTTAACACCATCACTGAGAATGGCCAAAGCCAAAGCAGTAAGTTCCAAATCGAAATTCCTCTCCAGCAGACGTCACCTTCACTTTCTTCATTATTTGGCCTTATCGAAAGTCCTAACCTTGCCAAAGAATTGCTTTATCATTATCGTAATACACCAGTTCAACATATGGCCTCATATTGGACATATAACTACGATTCTTTTTGCATGGAAACACTTTTTTTTTGTTTCTACTTGTGTTGTGGATCTTATGGCAATATATTGTTTGAGAACTTACAAGGGACTAGACCACGAAAGTCGTTCCATGAAAACCTTTCACCCTCAATCTCTAAACACGGTCAAATCCCTTATGAAATTTCCGCTTAATATTTTAAAGATTCAATATCCCGAGCACAAACATTGCAGATGGACTCGAATTGTGGTCTTCAATCCGACTCTAAAGTGAAACATTTTAGTTTACAGTATTCTCAAAATGATCCCGTAAGTTGAAATGGTGTACACTTTTTTAGATTAAACTTATTTATTAGAAGCTAGTACTATACTAGGATGGCCAAAAGTGTAAAAAACTTTAGTAGTAAAGCAAGATTAAGAAACTGTAAATTTTGTATTTTGTTGATTTTTCTTTGTAAAAGACAGCAAACTTTGGATTTTGATCTGCATTGGTTTCTTTTCGTGACGATCTGCGTTTATATTCTTCCAAAAATCCTCAACTTCACTTAGATAGTGTGATAGTTAATTCTGTGATAGTAGGCCAGTAGACGGTATTAATTAGTACTCTGATTTGAATATACGAAACGTAGCAGGTCGTCATTTCTATACAGTTACCGTTTTTCAAGTAATGTTTTACAATGGTTTATTTATGCAGGGTCCACTGGTGACTGATAATGGGAATTTCATCATAGATTTTCAATTTGGTGAGGTGAGAAAAATCGTCAAGCTCGTCTATAGTATTTATAACTTTGAATATACTGTTTATATGTAACCCATCGCAGTATAAAATATCGTGATATAGGAAATTACAGATCTGACAGAATTTTTTCACCAAAAATTTTTATATAATTATAATTGTGGTCAAGCAGTTATGGCATGGAACTTCTATGTACTTTTTCCTGACATCCTCTTTTATTCTTTGCAGACATTCTTCGCATCCTCTGTACCATTTTTTAGAAATGTTTTTGGGGTATCCTCTCTTAAACTTTATCAGGAAAATAAAAATGACACGATATTGGATTTTACCTTCTTTCCTATTCCGTGCCATACCTAGACCAAATACATGCGAGCAGATTCTGTATAAAGGCGTAATTGAAGCGTTAACATTAACAAAGCCCCATTACCAGTAAGATTACCGAAGTTACGCGCTAAAATAATGAATAAAAATAAATTATATTTTGTGTTGTTACTGCGAGGGATAGAATTCCCTTGCAATTTTTAATTGTTTCTGATAAAAATCTTTGTCTGTTTCTTGTTGATTTATTTCATGCAATATTTTTTGTTAGATAGTTTTCCTCCACGCCCCAAGAGAGAAAGGTCTTTTTGCATGATGTAGCCACCCAATTTCTATTTATATCTAGATAGTTTTTCAGCAAAAGTCGAGGTTGAATATTCCTAGTAAGTGTACCGAGGGAAGATTTGTATGATTTCGTTGTGTGAAATCAAAGTTCATATTTGGTAACGTTTAATGGCAACCGATTTACGTGTCATTAATATATTTATAAATTCATCTTGCTAGATTGAAGATTGGTCCCAACTGAACAGAGATATTAAAATGATACCAGGTAAAAATCAACTCCATACTGTTGAAAACTGCTGTGTGGTATCTTTATATGTAAGCACTCTGAAATTTTGATTTTTAAATAGTCATTACAGTCATCGGTAGTGAATCACTGGCACACGGTTTTAGACTTTTTCCTTTCAAATTATTTAGAACCTACCTACTTTGATTCGCTGAGTTTTCTTCTGTTTCTTCAGGTGTAGTGGAAACTGGCTTATTCATTGGCATGGCAGACACTGTCATTTTTGGCAAAGATGATGGTTCTATTGAAGTATTGCAGCGATAAAGATACACGATTTTAGACCAACTTCTCGCTGGACACATATAGCTAAGTATGCATAATAATCAAAATAACAATTATCTGTTCTTGAATCAAGACAGTGTACTTATGAATATTTATACGAGAGTTCAAATAGAACAGAGTCAGATACTAGGTAAAAAAATGTATTAAGAATGTCTGTAGTCAAGTTCCAGAATTCGTTGGACAGTTATTTGCGCAGGTAATTGTCCTGGTTAAAACGCTGGTATATACCTTGAAAATAGCTCCATCAGTGACAGACTTGTAGCCTGAGGTGTGATACAAGGCCTTGGCTTTTCTGAAATGTTCCTGTTTTTTTGGCAAAGATAGTTTAAACGACTCCCCATTCCATTTTAGAATGTTACTTTGAGCAAGAAGTACCCTTCAGAACGCGATAAGCCAGGGTCTTTGATAAACCATCTGCTCTTCAAAGTGGGTTGAAATGCCTTGATATGACGGTGGTACCTACATCGAAAGTAAAACTGGAACCATATCCTCAGAAAATGAGCTAACTTCAGTGCAGTTATTGCTTTAAAATACGCCTACTATTTATGTTTCTGAAAACATTTAATCACTGATTTATCTTAAAGTATCAAGGCCATCTTATAACGTTGGTTGTTTTACGACAATAGTATATTATAGTCGGATTGCTGTACCTTTGAATTTGTTAGGGTTGTTTTTACGTTTTATGATCAGTCTATTTTCGTTTCTTGAATACATAAACTTGTAAATGCGAAAACTGGCCATTTGTTATCGATTTTTTATCCATAATCCATTCCTTGAAATATATAATTATTTCCTCTTCAAGGCATTTAAAACGAGCATTCCTTTGTTGGCATAAAGACTCCTTGTCTACGGTTTTGGGCCTCAATAACGAGTGTTAGAGAATAAGGTGATACGATGCAAAGACCTGGCACTAACTCTCGAACTAAATCGTTCCCCCTTACGCCGTTATAAAGTTTAGATAAAATGCTATTGTGGTATTCATATAGATATACAGTGTCTGTTTAAACAAATTCACACACGCTACGCTGCAGTGGCAGATGCGGGTTATCGTTTGTCAAAGGAACTGCTTTCTCTAATATTCAGTTTGTTTAACTCTACTTGAGGAAGGCATTTTCCACAAACACTTGACTTTTCCAGAACTTTTTCCCAGCCGTTCGTCTCTCATATTTGATTATCGTTAGCAAACAGTTAACAGTATCGGAAATAACTTGAAGGTTTTGGTGCATGAGTAATGAAAAGTCTCGCTTTTCATTTTCTTTCATTAGATACTGAGACTTTTTTGTGGAATTTAATAATGGTCAGCAAACTTGGAGGAGGCCAGCTGCCCAGCGTGCTGTTCAGGCTGTGATCTGTGTCTGACTTTTGCAAATTGATTTTTGATGTCATTAAAAACTGCTGAACCTGAACTTGTTTTGCCTATGTGTACAACCGGTGCGACAGTAAAAAGGGTACCAGGGTATGGTATTATATAATCCGGCGAAAATGAGTGGGAAGAAATAAACATCTATCTGTGTGTTCCTCGTCTGTAAGACAAAGATGTTGGTTATCAAGTTGAGTCTCACAGTGCACCACTAAACTAGCAACTTGATAATTTTGGGAACAGTGAGAGCGTTTTCGCTAAAGGTATTCGATGACAGGCCATGTTCAAGGGCATGCCTGACGAAAGATTATAGTCTAAAAGCATTTGCATTGTCTTGACTGCAAGGTTTCATATATCGAATAGGGCTTTCATTTACCTTACGCCGGAAGGGTTTTTGCACCGTTGCACAGATCTTATGTCTACTTGTGCTTCCATGTTCAAATTTTTCTTTTTCATTCGTCAGGTCGTATGGTGTTTCTGCAATCCAAATATTGCCCAAGTCCATTCCAAAACAACTAGGCACCCTTCAGGTCACATGGTTTCTCTTATTCTTCTCTCCATTCTTCTTTCCCTGTAATTAAAAAGTGTCAAAAGTAGTTGCGACCAGATGAGCTGACACACGTGGAATATGCATATGTAAAATAGCTGAACATCCCTATCGTAGCGACCGTCACGACATTCGTATCAGCATTGTCATTGTATCAGGAACTTGGTGCCAGAGTTGAAGTCTCGTTTGCAAGCGGAGTTTCGGGGTGATGCGTATTGGGTAGAACCATTTACATTATACCAGAGCATGTCGTATTGCTTTTGTTATCATCTGCAAAGACTTTCGCTCAGTTTTCTGGCGATGCAATAACCTTACCGTATATGTCTCCCACTCCTATTCCACAGTTTTTGAAAATGTCCAAGACAATTATTTGCAATCAAATAACGTACTTTTTAGACCTCTCAGGATCTATCCTTGCTGAATAAATAATTTACTCTTATATATCTTATATCTTTGATATATCTCAAATGCTAAATAATCCTACACATCTACCTACACCTCAATTCATCAGCTATTCACACTCGGCCTGGCCCTTCCTTTCGCTGAAAAAAAAGACTTTCGCGGCAGATTTGTGTCGATGGCCTGAGGCAGCTTAAACCAAAATCAAGAAGATAAAGATAAAGATTGTCGTGATTTTTATCGTGAGATCGTACAATTACAATTATTTTATTAATAGTGCATTATTCATGCACAGCCACCATAAGAGCTATTAAAAATGAAACGTTTTCGTTTCTTGCTCTCTGGTCTGTAGCATGCATGTGTCGTCCGTAAATCAGCAGACACTGCGAATCTGCAAAGACACAGTTGTTACGGGGATAGAAAACAGTATCGTGCAATGCGAATGGATATTTCTCAAGGATTGTTGAATAATTAAGCAACAACAAAGTAAGAAAATGCTGTTTACCATGTTTTTTCGTGACCATCTTTGCTAAACATCTGGAAGTTTGTCTCGTTATTCACAGGATAGGTCACCCATCAAAATCTGCATCAACTTTAGCTCGTGCTTCAGATTGACGGAACTAAAGAAACTCTAGAAAACTGAACCAAGCCCGCAGGTAGACTATTCCATTGAAAGTTCGTCACAACATGTGCAAAAAAAGAATTCTCATGAAAAAAAAGGAATTATCATGAAAAAAAAGGAATTATCATGGAATCCACGAACCAAAGGACACTATGCACTTAATTTTGATGCCAGGTGTTATGGATATTTGCTCGCGAAAGGGTGTAGCCAAGCACACAACGGGTGAAATTCTTTGAACGCTGGTCTTCTCAGAAATGCATTCAATTCATTTTCAATTCAAGAATTTTTCTCCATAATATTGCGCCGGTCAAGGTAAACTTTGAATTGATGTCGAGGCATACTCAAGTGGAAGTTAAAATCTAAATGGTCTATTTATGCAAAGGAAAGAATAACTGAGATCATGCCACTTTCAATATATCATCTTCTGCAATGACGTTGGTATTGAGAAAATGCTTATTGATCAACAGAGGAACCTTTCCCAGCATGCATTCTACAATGTTTCAAAGCTTCTCATTTTGTTACTTGGATAATGTCATAGGGAGGTGGTTTGTCCAGAAATGGACTGGAACATCAATGGTGGAAGAATTATTCACTTCTAGACCCATTTTCTATATCCATGAAAAGAAAACCTCTAAGGTTTTTCAGTTTTGACTGCGAAAAAATCAATTGTTGCTTTATTTTCACTACAAAGGAGAATCTCTTCAATGTCACGAGAGTTGAGATAAGACTTTAACTAAAGCGAAGACTTTAACTCCGACTTTTAACTTTTCTCTATGAAATGAAAAAAATGAAAAATACAGTAGGAATTTCTTCACAAAATAATTACGTTTTAGGCATTGGTCCTTTACAGTAAGGATTACCTCTGAACGAACTGTTGCACAGGCCTAACCCTCTCAAATTTTGGCGTACTGTTGGAAGACCGTTATGTAGACATCAAAGTTGCTGGGACAATACAACTAAATTTCAAGCAAAGTTATCTTTGTATTTCCTGAAGAAAGCCGTGATCAAATAGTGATCAAAGTAAAAAATATATTTGCGAAATCGTTCGATGAGGTTCAATTCCACCAGTCCCATAGCATAGCCTAATACTCCTTTTTGATTGCAAAAATTTCAACACTGGCGACATGTTCATATTCAAAATGACGCCATTGGTATGCCACATGAACGAAATGAAAAATTCCGAATAGCTTAGACTGGCATAGAGTTCGTTACAGAGCTGGCTGGCATGAGCAATAGAGTTCCTTACAGGAAAGATAGCGGTAGTGTTTGTTGTGTGAAAAATGTGTGTTCCGTTACCGTGACATTTTTACTCCCTTTGCAACACCGAAACTACGGTCTTTCTATTGGGAACATGGAACGTTTTTTATTTTTCAATGAGAACACGGGAACATTGGTTGTCTTTTCAAAGTAAACACAGGAACAATTACCCCCACCCCCCTTGAGAACCCAAAATGTTGCTTGAAAATTTGTGACTGTAAACAAAGTGTAACTGTAAGCGGAGCTAAATTGAGTAGTTTTGCATATTTTTGTCTACATTTTTAGTGACTGTAACAAGTTGTGTGACTTTAGGCGGAGTCAGCAGAGTGACTTTAAGCGGAGTCAACTGTAAAATTATGGAAAATACAATTGGTCCCTCTTGTAGTTGGTTTGCAGTTCCCTGACGAGTTCTTCGTTGCTGAAGGGACTTATGGTTCTTAGCCATGTGGGCAGCAAATAAGCGTGCTTCAGTCAGTTCCATATTGTCTTGCATTTGTGTTCATGAAAACAAATATGTACACTGCCTATCTTAAACTAAACAAGACCGTACTCCTAATTGTTGACAATTCAATAAAGACGAGATTTGTTTATTGCAAAGAACGGAATATTTTATTTATAAGCAGATGTCGTTGTTGCTGTTTGAAATATGGCAAGTCAACGTTGCCGGAATACTGCTCAATCGACTTTCAAACATTGTATGTAGATTGACTTTTTGCAAAGCTCAAAATGTCCTCAAGGATGAAAGTTAATTTTGCGCACTTCAATTGTTATCACAATGTCTCTGAAAGTAGCAAATGAGAAGGGTAATGCCTCTCTTGCACTTGAAAGACGTTGGTCGCAAATCTTGTCAAAAGAAAGCCGCTTGATTTAACGAATCCGGTGGCTTGATATTTAATGTACGCCTTAATCAAATGTAAACTGTTCGACTGGTGTTACTTGAATGCAGGAGTAATATGTTTGGTTTTCGGTAGATTAATGCGAGTTTTGTGATTGAATCTGAACTTGCACCTGTTGTTATTGAGGAAGCTGATCGATCGTTCGGTCTTTTATTTGTTTACGCAGCGCCTGAGTGACAATTGCCATCTTTTCTGATTGGAAACTGGATGGGACGGTCATTATTCCAAAGTGAGTATGTTATTTCCAGTTTTATATGTCTTTAAGTGTGAAACGTTGTAAATTGAAGCACCAGTGAAGTTTCTAACGGCACATCAATGGATACTGTTCTGAGTCGAGAATTGATATAGAAGCTGTCGCTTGTTTCTGTTTTGAAATCAGAAGCCTACTTTCAGAAAGGGAGTCTCTTTTACCATGCACATTGGAAAGAAAGCTTTCTTGGAGGAGGGCTGTGATAAGAGTGAAGTAAGAGAGTTCTGTTATTTTCCATTCAAGATATTTTTCCAGACTAAGACTCTTTTGCCCGCCTCCCCCACCCATATATCGAGGACTTCCTCATACTGTAAACTAGGCTTGTGTCCAGGCTTCCTTATGGCGGATTTTGTCTATCCATGAAAATTGACACTCTGTCTCGGACATGCCAGTTTTCCAGTCCAGTGGGGGGCGGTAGGTTTCTTTTAGACCTACACCCCTATTTCCTTAGACCCTCTACCAAGTGCTTCATTGAGAATCCAAAAACCAAAGGCCCTAGATCATGGACAGGTTATATTGCAACATTGCAGAAAGGAACGATAGGGTACGTCGGAGTTAAATATAGATGTATTTTTGTTTGTTTGGATGAAAAGCTTCCAAAGATCTTATCCTTGATGCTCTCCAAGGATCACAATTTGTCCTGTTTTTGTTGATCAAAGGGAAGCCGAATGACTCTAGTTTTGTTCCTGCTGAGCAGGGATCACCCCAACTGTGTTGAAGAAAGCAAAGCAAAGAACGGGACTTTTGTATAAGCAATGGTGCATTTAGAATAGTATTTTTGTCTATTCACGGTTTAAGCAAGAATTAAGATAACAATTTTCCATGTTTCCTATTATTACACCCCTTGGCTGCGAAATTTTTCTGCAACAATAGTGTGGCACTGCCCTCGTTTTGTTGTTAAACCTTTTTTAAAACTCGCAATTTGGCCGATACAAGGTGATATCTTCCACTGCTCTTACACTGTTCAGAGATTCAATGGCGGATTCAGCCACTAATGGTTTTTTTGGAAGTTTGTTATCTGGTCTTGGAAAAGAGCAACAAATTGAAGTATGCTTCGCAAAATATAGTTGAACAGAATGCTTCGACCCATCGCCAGCAACACTAGATTGGCTTAAACCAAAAAGTAGAAGGTAAAAGCTTCTTAAAACGACAACCGGCCAAATTGGCTTCTCGGTCTTTTCCACGAAGCTGAACTATCTAAGAAACAGCTGAAACTTCTCAATGCAAGAAAAGAAATGAAGAGCGTTATGTTATATGCTTAAAATTCTGATTTTCATGACAGTAACCCAACGCGGAAAGCTTTTTCGAGCTTAAAGCGTTTTCATGACAGTAACCCTAATTCTTATCATAACTGACGCTTTACATCTAAATCAACTTATATATCTTGTGTTTTAATCGGAGAAAAGCTCCACGCAATAGTCAACGAGGGCCCATCCTCGCACAATTTTATACATTATACTTGTCACAGACTTTTATTTTATACCAATAGACTTTTTATAACAATACTTGTCAATGTGCATGTTGCTCGTTCTTCATTAAAGCGTAGAGGGCAGCTTTAAGAATTAATTAAATCTTGGAAAGATGTAGAACCTGTATAAAAGATATTGTTCCTTGTGATTATAGTTTCCAATAACGAGGCATTAATAGTCATAAGTTATGACAAAATTTGAAAACATTTATTGACCTTGAAACAAAACACAGGCCGTCTCGATTAGGATATTCTGTCATATTTTCTTTCAGTTATAAAAACACCCTGAAAGCTGAACGAAACTATAAAAGTTTGATTATTTATCGATCTTTTTCATCAATGAAGCACCTGTTCTGTTGAGACAGTGCAATCCGTCCCTCGCTTTATGACCGAGTGTTTACCAAATTCCCTTTAAAAGCCACTCTCCTACTGCAACATCATGGGGAAACGGCAGCAAATTAAAGCAACCTGCCGTCCTGTATTTGTAATAATAGTTTTATAACGTGAGAATAGAAGACAAAATTGATGAATTTAGTGGAAGTGTGAGTAATCTTGCTGTTGTTTTGCTTTCTTTCAAAAGCATAAATGAGATTTTAAAGACGCCTGGTGCTTATTTAAGTAGATTCGCAAAATTTTTTGGTATTGATTACAGTACAGTAGAATTTTTAAGAAATTCGAATATGAAGATTCGGGATCTTTTGCTAATTTCCTTTGCCTCCATCCCTTTCTATCTTGATCAAACTAGCTCGATTGGTTTTAATTTGAATTGGTTGGCTTTCGATTGGGCAACTGATTTGCTTTTTATTTTCTAAAGTTAGTGCAATGCATTTGCAGGCAAAAAATCAAGTATTTTATGTTGATACTGCATACAAATTGCTTTCATTTACTAAGTGGATGAGTAACAAGCCCTTTTGAAAGCAACCCATTTTCAAAACCCAGTTCTTTTCATTTTAAGTTTTCTTTTTTTTAATATGCATCACTTAGTATGTGGGAAAAATTAGATTGTTAAAACGGGCTTGAAAGACAAATAAAAACTCTTCAATAGGGTAAAAGGAATACCTAGGTTTTTTAAGAGCAATTACTTAACTGAATGGTTCTGTATAAAAAATGGTTCTGTACAAAACAGCAGGCAGCAGAGGAGACCCTATTTTCTGACTTCTGCATTTTATCGATTGCTTTATTTACAAAGCCAGTTGTGTTATTGAAGAAGACATGTTAACCTAGCAACTGCGCAGAAGCAGGGCTAGTGACTCGGAGTTGCAAAACCCCCGGTATCAGTCAATATTTGTCCACATGATTCCCTATTCAGAATGCGGGAAGCGCACTACCTGCAACTGAAAAGACGGCTTTAGATAAAATTAATTAAAAACACTTGTGCCTTTATATGAGCATAGATTTATCGAAACTGGTATTTTTATTCGTAGATGGAGGCAATTCTTCTTTTCTGGGGTAGAAATGGCATTGCCTGAGACGTTCGTGTTCTGGTAAGTGTTCTTTCTTTTTTGCTGCTCATTGTTGTGTTTTCCATAAAGCTTTGACAGTCTTAATAAACTTTATAACAGAATAATTTCTGCTATAGGAGAAGTAACCAAAGATTGCTAATTAAAACCTTTGTCTAGGAATCGGAAGGGTTTTAAGAATTAACTGCATGGAGTTTCTTAAGTGCTGTTATTGAAATCGGTAGAACTTTTGCTTTAGCTCATAACTCTGTCCTTCAACCGAGTCTAAACGGTCCTGACAAGCTTAATAAAAGCTTACGTACATGATAATTGATTGCAAGGAACTGTGCAAACGTGATTTCGCTGTAAGATTTCAATTCATACTATCTATTGTGTGATTTGAATATTTCGATGATTAAACAAATTTCGTCTAATCCATTCTGGTGTTTCAACTGTGATACGTTTTTCATAATACTTGGGTTTGCACTTTATTGGATTACTCATCTGTAGGTTTCACTTTAGCTACAAGGCAGGGGTGTAGTGCTAGGGGGCTCAGGGGGCTCAGGGGGGCTGAGCCCCACTTGCTGATGCTGAAAATTGGCAATTTCTACTTTTGCTATTGTTTTTCGAAACATTTTGTCAAGAGACCCCCTTGTTAATTTTATAGCACTACACTGCTGCAGGGTTTTTAGACATTTTCGTTGTGTTCTTAGACTTTCTCATCTCGAAAACCATATGCGTTGCATTACTCTCCGCGTAGCAACCCCTCCTATTTACTCCACATCAAATCAAAATTTTCAATCGTTAAATCATACAACTTCAACGGTCTTTGTGTATTTGGTCTTTCTTCGCATTTCAGTTTTCATAGGATTCCCGTTTGAATTCAAGTTTTTAAGCCTTTGCCATGCAGTGAAAGTCTTCCGATTGGCGGTCAGTGACCAAACGTTCTTAAAATCACTTGTGCTGCTAAGCTTTCTTAATTCTTACTTAATAATCGTTTACTGCATTTTTCCTGATCAGTTTTGAGGTAAAAGACAAAAATTATTTGTGGTTATTGATGTTATTTGGTTGGTTTTTTGATGATAGCGTTTTTGTCCGGTACGCCAATCAGTCAAGCCGATTTATGACTTTCTTGTGCAATTAGCACATATTCATTGTTTAGCAGTAGTTCTTGCGTTTGCACATTAACTTTTCGCCCTTTGTTAGTCCAGCTAATGTATTGGGATTGTGATTAATGCTTAATGTTCAGTAAAAACCCTTTCAAAAGCTTTGGGGATTTTCAACGTGCCTTTACTTGTCGGTGAAAAGATAAACTGAATTGAAGAATCAATGGAAGTTGCAAGTTCAAAGATAAAGCTAAAAGAGAATAGATTTATTGCGGTTTTGAAGTTTCTGTTGCATCTGTAAACCGACGATGGGCTGTTGCAAAGCGCTTCCAAAAGCAAGAATTTCTCGATGTTCAATTCAAGGGCCTTTTATCGTGCAACTATCGATTACCCTCTCATAAAACATTCAGATATCTGAAGCTAAAAAGGAGTTTTATGCCGCTGTTAGTGAATTTCTGTATAGAGAATGCACTAAATTGCATCACAAGTTACGTGTTATCTCAAACACTTTACACTCAGTGTTTGAGATAACGCAAAACACTGTCTTTCATTATTAAGAGCTTTTTTTGTGAACCTTGACGGTAGTGACACCAGGCTAAGTGAACAAATGAAAACCTGTGTAATGTACTTATCAGTAGATAAAGAAATGCCGTTCCAGTTTGGCGTTTCCGTTGTGTATTTGACCTTTTTGATTTTTCAAGGTCAGTCTTTTTGGAGAAACTTTCATTGATATTCTATATAGTTACAGCAAAACAAACCTCAACTCGGTTTATATTCGCTGCTTGTAGAGGACAGCAACCTAAATTGGCCAAGAATCTTCCTAAGCAGACATACTATCAGTTTTATTAGAAAACACATTCAACTATTTTCATATCAAAAGTGAGCTTTGAACGGACAATTGAGGAACATCACTTATTGTTACTGTGTTTTTCCAAAAAGCTTAATTTTTCTAATAAAAAGAGGCATGACAGAATACTTTTTCCTTTCGCAGGCCGTTGCCGGTGTATCCTGACCTCATTCTGACGACATATGCATCTTAGTTAAAGAGATTTGGGTTTGATTCAAACTGTAGCATGAATGTGATAGCCCGCACAAGTTTCGCGGTTGTGCTGAGTGTGATAATACTGGCTGGCTCTATAATGAACTTGCTTGTCTTAATAGTTGTTTGCCGGAACAAAGCCATACGCCAGCATATTGCAAGTGTGTTCATTGGAAATCTTGCCATCATCGACTTGCTTAACCTTGTCTTTGTTATGCCATTTTCCCTCCAAATCGTATTATACGAGAAATGGTTACACTCTAATGCTCTATGCCAGGTGAATGGACTCTTTGGAACGCTGTTCAGTTTCGCGTCTATTCTGACGCTTGCAGTCATTTCTCTTGACCGCTGGGCCGCAGTGATGAGGCCTTTAGCATACAGAGCTCGCATGACTGTGACCCATGCAGTACAAATGACTGTTTACGTTTGGATCCAGGCCTCAGTTTTTGCGATTGTACCTGCGTGCAAGACTTGGTTTGTTGTAAACATGCGTTATAGCTACTGCGGCTTCCCCTCTGTGCAGACTGGTACAAATTTCTTGGCCTACATGTGGACATCAATCGTACTGAATATAGGACTATCGCTTGTCATCATCTTAGTAACTTATTTTTTTGTTTTTCGGGTCGCGCGATCCCATTCTAGACGAATAGCGGTCGCGGTCATTTCCGTTTTTGCCCCTGAACATCGAAAGCTTCGCAAAGAAACTTTCCGACAGCGAGAAGCGAGGACGGCGATCAAGATCTCATTTGTAATCGGTGCGTTTCTCATTTGCCATTTGCCGTACTCAGTGCTGCGGGTAATGGAACTGGTTGGCAAAAACAACTCGGTGTTCAGCCTCTCGCCGGTGTTCCTCGTGTCTATGAAGTGGACAGTTTATTTGAAAAGTGCCGTGAATCCATTCATTTACAGCCTGTTGCAAAAACGTTTCAGAAAAGCGCTGGTTGAGTTGTTTGGACAGTCAAGAAGGGAAAGTAATATGAACGCGAACATCGTATACACTGTTTCCAAGAATCACATTCTGCGAGACAGCCAGAGTGCACCAACAACTGTTGCGACTGGCACACTTTCTTCCAAATGCTGAGACAAAACTGCTATTTTATGATTAAGAATCACATTCGGCGAATATTGTGATATTATAGAATTGTTTCGCAAAAATTATGAAATGTAAGGATCAATTGGTTCGTAAGAGATGTTTAGTAAGGTTAAATGATATAGTAACCGTCTCGTTGTCGCTTTTTCATTGAGTTGCGCACGCAGTGATGAAAAAAAGTCTTGTTTTACGGAGCATTCAAGTCTTACTGAAGAAATTAGTGCATCTTGGGGTGGGTTGGAATTTCCTCTTCTGACAACGTAACTAAAGATCACATGGTAATTTTAGAAAGGAAAGGAATGCCGTCGGCCATAAAGAGGAGGAAGCTGAGCCATTTTTATGAAACAGAGCAGGAAATTTTGTTAATAATGATTACAATTATTTAGAACTTTTAAATCAAGATTGAAAAAGGCATAGCAATCGATTCTTCAGTTTGCAATCAAATATTTAATGCGAGAGTGACGGTCCCAACATATTAGTTAGCCCCCCCATCGGCAGCCAATCTGTTTTTGCTTTCCCAATACCGTCGGCACTTGATGGACTTCATCCAGTTTAGAGAAGGTCAGAATCACATCTAACATCGACATTAACATTTCCGTGGCTTCTTTTCCGTGGTTTATGATCCTTCTTTTTCGGCATCTTTACAACGTATCTGCATGACATCATGTCGCTCCAGTGAAAACTTCCTCGCATCGCATCTGAAAATGATCGTTTAGTTCTCTATGCATTGTAAAAGACTACATGAAGAGCGGAATGAGTGACTCTCGATTGATGCTTGAAATCAGGAGGAGGGAAGCCTCGTAAAGTAATGATTCCGTTTTAATAATTGAATTAAGCAAACGTAACAAAAGTATGCTTTAAAAAAGATTTTCAGGCATACCACGTTTTACATGGTTACAAGAACATGGTTGCCGACAATATTCGGCAATCTATTCAAGCTTATCTTAAGGGCGTGGTCGCAAAAACTTCGTCAAATCGGCCCTTCAAAATCTCTTGGTGGCCCCAGGGGCGATTCTAGCCTGAGAAAACTGGGGGGCCATCTCAGAAGATCCTGGGATAGTAGTGTACGGACACCATGTATTTATAAAATAACGCCTTACTTTAAAGGTGATCTAAATCTTTTGGTTTCAAAAAATTTAGTGAAGAATTAATCCATGCTGCAGTTTAGAGAAAATTCTCGAGCAATTCATATTATTCAAATCAAGCAAAAGACACCTGCAGAAGAGGCAAGGAGAGTCTTGCAGAAAACGCTTGTCCTTTCCATCAACAACAAAGATTATAAGCAACAAAAATAATCTGTTACAAGTAAGAACAAATTGTTTTAAAATTAAACGTCATTTCAAAAGCTACGTATAAAGCATATGGGCGGAAACACTAACCAATAACCAAAAATCCTCTTAGAAAAGTAAGGGGGGAGCAAATTAAGGGGCCGAAAAAAATTCTGGGGGGCCCGGGTCCCCCTAGCTCCCCCTTAGAAACGCCACTGGGTGGCCCTGTTTGTAATACAGGCGGACTGAGCAGAGATATTTGACCTGGATTAGGTTCACTTGACCTTAAGGTATTGCTATTTCTTTTGAAATCTGTTATTTTTTACAAAAAGGTTTTATAGAAAAAAGCTGCCCTCTAACAGAAATCATGCTTTTTGAAAAAACGAAATATCTCAGTCATGCAATATTCTGTCATTACAATTGCAAAACAGGCAACTCCTGAGAAATGAAGCACAAATTCGCGAGCTAAGCTGAGCAATGTTCTTATAATATTCTTAAAAAATGCATGATTCTGTGCCTGAATATTCTTATAAACAATATTCTCATACAAAAGAGTATTGGGAGATTTTTAGTTTAAGGGTGGGCGTTAATTAGGAAGAGGGCGTTATATAGCTCGAATACGGTACGTTGTATATAAACTCCGGCATCTTGAATGTTTGTCTCTAGCGCCACCCCTGCTGCACTTGATAAGACAGCAAAGTAATTATCTTTTCTAACAAGAATTATTAAAAGGAGCAGCTGTTTGACAAACAATTGCCAATATTACAACTGCGTATTGCAAAATTTAACAGATAAGACTTTTTTGAATAAAAGAGATTATTGTGCAATGAAACTTCTTATAAAACGCCAAAATTTAGTTCAGTTATGATATGCCAGAATCTTCTATTCTTGTTTAAGCCCTAAATTTTATTTTTCTCCATCAAAAGATTCTAAGGTTCTTCCCGTTTATTATGTTGGACAGGGATGGTGGAAATTACGGGGCGCATGAGGGGGACTCAGCCCCCCTCCCAATCAGCGTTCTTGTCGGAAAATTCGGGCTTTCGTCGGATAATTAACGAATGTTTAACGTGATGTAGCCTTGTCGATAAATCGTGGGCCTGAGCCCCCTTTTTCCCAAACGAGAATGAAAGCCTAAATTTGAATTTATGCAGCCGTCCAGCGCTTACATAAGGGTGAGGATATTCTCTTATAATATTAGGTGGAGCTGGTCATTTTTGTGGCAGTGGCATCAGAAGGTTGATTGTTGATTGAGGCTTTTCTCTAATAATGCAAGGAATTTTGCTATTGAGAATTTTATGATATTCATTTCGAAAGCAAAATCATCTTATTTTCCCTTTGGCCAAGTGTCACTTTTCCAGCTCCCCAGCGTTCCAGCTCTACAGCGTTCCAGCTCTCCAGCGTTCCAGCTCTCCAGCGTTCCAGCTCTCCAGCGTTCCAGCTCTCCAGCGTTCCAGCTCTCCAGCGTTCCAGCTCTCCAGCGTTCCAGCTCTCCAGCTTTCCATTCTTTGCCCCCATACCCAATTCTTCATTTGGATCATCAAAACAAAATCTCAGAACTAGACGAAAGCTTCCCTTCAAGATGTCTTTAACATAGATTGTTTCATTTGTAATAATTGGTGATAACTGAGTGAGTGATTTGTAAGAAAAGATCATCATCACCGTAAACTTTATTTAATGTTAGCTGAGCAATTTTACAGCAAATTAACATTAAAATAAAGCAACATAGAGATTTCATTTTCGAAAGTATTGGCTCATTCATCCATTTGGTTGACTGCTTGTGCTTTCGTTGACGACTACGTTCGACAGACCTATATCCTGTGCTTGGTGAATGCAATCCGCCAACTGTATACTGTATGAAAAGTTTTAAACACCCAAAGTGTTAAAATTTAATGCATGTGTACTGTAGCCGATCTAACAATCATCATAAAGGTCGTCATAAGTAGAGGGGTAATTCGAGACTAGATGTTAGGCTATATCATCACTTTTTTGTTTTTTTTCTGGCTTCCATTGGCACAAAATAACCACAAAAGAGAGCAGTAATTCAAATGACACAGTCATATTCTTTTCAACAGAAATTAGCTGCCGAGGCAAATCATAACAAATTTTTGTTTATATGAAGAGGAGGACAATAGTGTCTCATCCCTATTTAGTTAGTTTAAAAAGGCCCTGGGCATTGTCTAAATGAGTTGATTATAACCTGCTTTCTTTGCTGGTGATAAACCGAGCTAATCTTTTGTGACAACTGAGTTGCAAAGCAGCTCTTTTACAGAGTTGCACAATTTGTGGATCAAATTTTATAGCGATAATCAATTTGGAGGCCACCAAGGGTCATCTCATTGCAATTTTAATTGCAACTAGTGGGTGGAATTATGATCGTTGCATGCCATGTAGTTTGGAAATAAACAAATCAAATTTCTTTGTGTTTATTCCATGCATTTGTTCGCATTTATTTTAACTAAAGCTACAAAGATTTTCAAAATTGCTAGCGGAAACTGAAAATTTGTTGTCATATGCAACGATGCAAAGAGAGTTTTAACTTTATAAAATCAACGGCAAGTAAAGCCATTTTAGAATTTGCCTACTCAAATAAAATCTCGAAAGATTATTTGTCACGTTTGCAAAAATCTGTTGTAAAGACGAATGCCAGTGCTGGTGATGATAGTGAATGTGATGGTGAAGCTGCAAAAGTATGTTATTTGTTAAGCACAGAAGCAAGTAATAAAGATGATCAAAATGGCTTTCAGGATGCTCCTATTGCAGTACCTCGAAAAGAGAATTTTACCAATAAAAAACCAGTTAGCTGCACAGCAGAAGAGGCCATGGCCAGCAAGAAGGCAAGGAGGGAAGATGCATTTTCATCAAATCCTGGTTGCTGTTGGTACAAGGGAAATAAATTAGAGTTGCTGGCTTTTATCATCTAAGAATTGTCTTGAAACACCCAGGAGAATGGTTTGAGACAACGAGAACATTTTTTCAAGTATACTTTGTCAGCAATATGAAATAGAATTAACATGATTTACTCTCCACGGTCGGCTTCAAATTGCCAATGGAACTTGTGCAGATGACAAAGATAGGCTGAGGTGGACCACTTACAATCAGCGCCCAAAAAGGCAGCCCTATGTAAGGAAAATGGTACAGCATTGAGCTGCATGTCAAAGGACCAGCCTTAGGTACGTTGAAATGAAGAAGTGCAAAGCAGACACTAAATTTCTTAATTCATATTGTAGTAGAGGTATGTAGTAATTTACCAGTTGAAATACAAAGTGCTAGGAGTTTCCCTTCAAGAGCACAGTAACCGTTTAATGCGAAGGAGGATGGGACTCAGTCTTTGTACTATTTAATCCACCTCCCTCGTTGCACCATAATTGATCCCATTACATATGGAGAGATACTATGAAAGTTGGAAATGAAGCGCACAGCTGATAGTTGTCCTTTGAGCAATCATCGTTGCTGCTATTCAGTCTAGATTGACGAAATTGCTGACAAGGAACGAATAAACTCAAATTTTATGACTGCTAGAATGCCCCTTTTGATAGAATTGGAGTCAGGAATAATGCTTATTAGAACAATTCTTGCCATGTATGGGCAACGTTAATTGTGAAAGCTTTTTTGGGTTAACCGCAGATGGAGAATACCGAAAAAATGAAGTTAACGATATTGTGTGTTCTGTCACCGCTCGGATCTAGCGTTAGGGTCAGTTTAGTCAGACGTGCAACAGCTTTCTCTGTGGATGGGAAATGTTTTTGCTATTTCGACTTTCTTCAGAATTTCTCCAAGGCAGGTAATTTTTTTAACGATGCAGTTTTGAAAATTGTATAATTTTTTTCAGTGACCTAACTTATTCAGTGATAAAAAGTTTACTTTTGGCATTGTGGTAAACTAGTGCCATAAAAATTTAGGCTCCTTCGTTGAAAATTTCATTAGTTGAGAATCCTTAAAAAGTATCCTAGAGACTTGGCTTTAATTTATTAAGCGGTTTGAGTAATTTGAGTTTCTTATGAGATCCTTACAGGAGCCCTGGTAAAACCTGTAATTTTAAAACAAATTTTTGAAGACGAGTTGTCTCTCGGCAGAATTAGCAGTAATAGAATGATTTTCTCTGCTCTCCAGATCACACTAGTTCAGAGGAGTTCGAAATGCTATATCAGTCCATGTCTATGTTCATCGGAACAACTGTAAGGTAGGATTGGGTCCAGCCTGTTTGCATGTAAGGTAGGATTGGGTCCAGCCTGAGCCCCGCAGCCTGAGGTTGTTGTTGAGTTGAAAGAAATTTCTGAGTCCTTGCATTTATTACCAAATATAAGCATTTATCTTCGCTAACTTTCATGCAATTATCTGAAAACCATTTCGCAAGTGTTGAACTATCTATTTCTAATCTATTAATAATAGTATTGAAATCTGAACTGCACGCGCAGATATTGGTGTCGTCGGCATAGTTACAACTGTTAGGATTATCTGCAAAGTGGCAAATAGCGCTAATGAAAACATTAAATAGAAACAGCCATAGAACTGATCCTTGCGGTACCCCTTTTGTAATATCACTTCAACTACTGCATGAACCGTTTATTTTGGCTCTTTGTTTTCTCTTTGATAAAAAACTATGGATACAGTTTTGATGATAAAATCTAGTCAGTACACTTATAGCGCAGAAGAATGTGGTGAAAACCTGCAGAAAATGGAGACTAATATGGATGATGAAATTCGATTGATTGTTCGTTATCTCAGTAGTTATCTGGATGTTTCATAACAGAAGGACCGATTCAAAGTTAAATAAGATTTATGAATGAGCATTGCGAATTGTATACAAGGATAGTGAAAACGTCTTTGTTAATAGTTGAAAAAACTCCCTGATGACTCATCAACGCAATCTACAGTTGCTTAAAGATTTTCAAAACTAAGAACAACCACAACCCAACTTTTGTGAAGGATATTTTTGCAGAAAAAATAGCTATTACAGTTTGCGCAATACAAATCATTTGCAACTGCCGAAAGTAAGGACAAAAACATATGGTACAGAAAGTATTCAGTATAGGGGCTGCATTTTATGGTCTCCACTCCCAAGCTTTTTGAAAAACAGTAGTACCGTACAACAATATACTTAAAGGAGAATAAATCAGTGGAATGGTGATTCAAGCAACTGCAGATTGTGCAAAATTTTATTAAAGATTTAGGGTTTCAGATTAATTTACTTTATATTTGTCAATTTTCCAACGTAAATTATATTTCTTTGTTAAAATAGTCGGCCTTAATTAGTTGGCTTTTTTAAGTCAGTCCATTTAAAAAGCCAACTTTAAATAAGTTACGATAATAATGATAATCAGTCTTAAGAACTGTAGACTTCTTAGAAATATTTAAGGATGCGGTCCATATGAATTTTCCCCTAGGACACCCTTTCATTCATCACGCCCTGAACCGAATTTTCTAATGTTGCAGGATTGAAGCAATGAAATGCTGCTGTCTGTTTACTTTTCTTCTTAAAATAATGAGTTTGTTATTAGGAACCGGTCGTTATTAATGATGGGGGTGGGGCGGAGGATATTTTTTGAATAGTGCAGTTATTTTCTTGGCCCCCTCAAATTCATCCGCCTACAATGTTAGCCCCCGTAAATCCAAAAATAATTTCTCATAGCCCCTACACCCCCCCGCAGAACATGGAAGACGACACATTCTCTGTCAATAGCATGTAGAATTTAGTGTGAGTAACTTGAAGAATGATGCCATGATGCCTTCATTCAGCATGTCATCGCACTATAGCATAGAGGTGAAGACTACAACAGAAAATTGATGCATACGAGGCTCAGTTTTCAGAGCCAAAAGATGGGAACTGGCAGAATGTAAACAAATATGCAAGGGATCATGGGCAGCTTTCAGTGAATGACCAGATACGAGCTGAAAAGTACCTGCGGTTCCTTGAAAATGTATTGAACAAAATTGAGATCTTCATGGCAGAAATCAAACATTGGAAGGAAACCTTTTTGAGAAAGACATGAATCTTAAGCTGTGGAAAACAAATTATCTTTCTATCATAATCTAAAAAAGAGTTATGCATTTTTGCAAGGGAAGTTTATCAAAGTTAAGGGTGATGTTTTCTTGAACCAAGCCATGCTGAAAAAGGGCTGGAGCTAGTGTGCTCAGCAGCAAATTTGACAATGCCAGAGTGAAACACCGTGCAATAGAAAATAAGAGAAAGAGCGAGAAAAGAAAAATTGAACGTGAGCAGAGAAGCTACTTGTCATTAAATAGTGCCATGCTTCCAGGAGACAAAAGTAAAGAAGTTAAGATGAAATTTGAGCAGGGAGATTTTACATTCTATATTTCAACAGCACAGTCTGGTCCATTGAACAGCCAAATGCACAGAGCTGGCCTCAAGTTTTTGCTAGGAAAATGTAAAATTATTTGCAGAAGATCAATTGCGAAAGATGGTGTGCCGCAGAGGCAAAAAGGAAAGCTCTTCATAGAAGAGACAGGGGGAAAGCAGCTAACAATTCTTGCTGCTTTTCGGACAGAAAAAGCTCAAAAGTCAGGTTCAAGCACTGAATCAAGTGAAAATGATGTGGATTCATAACTGAAGTACCGCAACCGTTTTAACATTCAATAGAAATATTTTTTCAGTTTTTATAGTTTTTACCGTTTAAAAATTTTAACCGTTTTCGATTTTGACTTACATTCTCATGCCCCCCTCCCTCTTGTTTACTATTGATTTACCTAGCCACCTTGAAGGTAGCAAAATTATAGATGGCCTCCTCAATATATTCCGCCGCCCCCCCCCCCCCCAGAACTTTGATTTAATATGAAAGTTGGTGTATCTTCTAGCACAGATCATGATACAATTGTTTATGTCAGAAGATGTTTTCGGGGTAAAGTTGGTCGGCCATATTTCAAAATCTCTTTGCCCAGGTGCCTAGAACAGGTGCCTGCAAAAGAGTTGTTTCAAGAAACTGTGCGGGCGCCCTTATGAAAAACTTTTGTCAGCTGGGCATGCAAGAACCAATGAAAAAGATTCATATTGTTTTGCCCACAATGCGCCGTTATGTTAATTATGCAAGGCTCTGGAAAGCAGACAGAGAAGGACAAAAGGTCTTTTCATTGGTTAACACTTGACGAATTGAAAAACAAAATAATCACGACGGCGGTGATTGGCTCCCTGAAACAATAGAAACCGTGGCGACCTCTTATTATGCAGACTATGGATGCCAACGGTCACATGATTTGAATTGAGAAACCCTAGCTCAAATGTGATTGGCTTAACGATAACACTCGAACAATACATCTTTAACATAAGGATTGACATTCTATTGTGAAGCAAATTTGAAGAATAGGACTAGAGGACAATAAAACGTGGGACAATCAGTATGCAAATTTAGGTTGCATTGAAACAAATGAATAAAAGAAGCAAACACAATCGACAACACCTCTTCACCAGTTGTTCATTGTCGAACATTGTGCTCTGATCGGCGACAAAAATGGCGGCAGATCAACCACATGCTCAATATGATGCCAATACACAACATGACAAACTACCTTCGATTGCCAATGTTGCCCCAACAGCGACAGTTATGGCCTCCGACGAGGAACTGCTCAGGCTGACAACATCATCGCAAACAGACGACGCAAACACATTACCAACGATGTCAAACAACAACATGTCAGGATTTCTAGACCAGAAATCGAGTCGAGTCAAAAGACCCATGAACTCTTTTATGGTATGGGCTCAAACTGCAAGGAAAAAGTTAGCGGAGCAGTATCCACACTTACATAATGCTGAGTTGAGTAAAATGCTGGGTAAATTATGGAAAATGCTGTCTGTTGACGATAAACAACCGTACGTCGAAGAGGCAGCTAGATTGGATAGGCGCCATAAAAACGAACACCCAGAGTACAAATACAGGCCAAGACGACGGCCTAAATTAAAAGGCGTAGGAAAGAGGACGTACAGTGCACCTTCCATGATGACAAATATTGGCAAGCCTTCGTTTGTTGCACCGATTCCATGGCAAAGTCATCTTGAAAGCAAACCAAGAGACGATGGATCGTTGGATATGAAGGTCAGTACACCTACTATGGCGGGGAAGCAAGTATATTCGCCTACTATTTTTACTACGGGTACTCCTGGGTCAGTTATCGTGCCTCCTGGACAGGTCCCGCCAGTGCCTCCTCTTGTGTCCAATTTGGGCTCTTTAGGCAGTCCAGTTAACCCATCATACCCAACGTATGTCACCGTTCCGATTCCTGCCACATCAACGGCGATATTTCAACCTGTTGCAATACCAGTTCACGGAATGACCGGAGTTCAAGCTGTACACACCCCGGCGTACATTCTAAGACAGCCTTTTAGTGGGGGGATGTTTGGCCCGACTGTCATTCAATCGCCTCATCCTAGCTTTGCAGCTGTGACAAATCTTGAGCAAAGAACTGTGGAAACGCAAACACAAACGACGCCTAGAGACAGTGATCTTAAAGAAAACGATTCGCAAAACAAGTCAGACAAGATCGAGCAGCACAATGTCGAGACTAGAGTTCATGTTGGAAACCAAATTGGAGAGAAAACAGTCTTGAACCAGGGGACGGGGATGGTACAAACGTCACAGGTCGAAACAGCTGGGAGAGAATGTTTTGAAGTTAATCGAGGACAAAGCAAAGTCGATAACTGATTCAAAATAATTTAGGGGGAATTTAATGTAAATAGGTAGATATTTAGCGAATTTAATTACTATTTTTTAATTCGAAGTTTCTTTCCATCCAGACATATACGCTTTGTTGTTGCAGAACGCAAAAGCATAACCTGAGAGCTCAATATACAATGCAATTATTTATCAAACATATGCGACCTTTTGTAAAAATGTGCGGGAAGAATGGAAGGCTTCTTCTGTATTGTTTGACCCTTGACAAAAGCTCTCTGTTTATTCTTTTGGCGACCTCAAAAGGAACCTGCGGTTTTATTCTCTTATTGTAATCAAATAACATTGTGGAATTTTAGTCATCTTGGAATATAGTGCCGCCTTTGTTTAAATGACAGAAATTATGGTTCCTTGTAAGATTAGCTGAGAAACTAGCCTTGCCAATTCTATCTTACTTGAGATATTGAATGAAGAATTGCCAAGATAGTTTTTAATTAACATAGAAGTTTTCATCTAGAAATGACACTATTGTGACTTTCATTTGTCTGTTGATAAGTGGAGTTACCAGTACATTGTAGTATTTGGAAGGTCATGCTCGAGCAATTTGCAGTCTTGCAGTATATTTAATTGCACCATGAAAAAATGTTCAGGAAGGTTATAAATGGCTACTTTCGGTATTTTGTTTTAGGTTTGAGTTTCCTTCCTAAATTAAGCAAGTTAGATATCACCTAAAGGGACTTTTGTAAAGGCAGGTGCCATTTGGTGTTGGCAGCATTGTTTATTGTAAAATTAATGTGCTTTTCTTATAACACAGTCATACACATTAGATACAGCAATCCCGGTAGCAGATAGATTTGGTTTTTTGTAACAGTTTGTTCCAAAGGCTTAGTGACAGACTGTAGTTTATTGTAGCAAAATTTCCACATTTATCTGCTAAAAGAAAATTGTGTCCTCTCTGTCCTCCTTTCAAATTTTACCAAACCATAAACAAGGGCACATTTTCAAGAGCAAAGGCAAATATCCATGATTTTTTGGATATTTTAACATTTTTTATTGATTAAAATTCATGTTTCAAGATGCAAATTAGCTTTGCAAACCTGCATTTTTCAATAATAAAAATGCAAGAAGACAAAAATACAAATTCTAAATGCCATGCCCTTCACTTTTGTCAAGAACTCTCAAGCTCAGATATTAAAGCAAATGAATAAAATTTTAATTTAATGTCACGAAAACTGATTTGAAAAAGTTTATGTAAGAGGAACTTTAACATTCATTTGTATAAAAAGTATAACTCCAGTTTTTTACAGCTCTAGCAATATTTCTTTTCAGCTAGAGACAAATTTCAAAAACTTGATTAGACTCTAGAATTTTGGAGATGGTCTTGTAGTTCTAAAGTAATGAATCATTGGTAACATGCACAAGCTTTGTTGATGTGTCTTCTACAGACAGCCTTAAGGATTTTATATTTACCTCTCCCAACACTCACTTTTTAGTGTTTTTAAGAACATTTGAGGTCTGTCCTTCACTTTGACAGAACTGTATCAAAGATTATAAAGTATAGCAAATTTGTGTAGAAATATCAGCTAACTGATAGAACCAGGGACAATTAAAGTTGACTCCAAAAGTGGGTGAAGGTCAAATTAAATAGTCATAACAAAAGGTTTTGTGAATAGGCTCTTGTTTTTCAAAGAAGTGGGGGGGGGGGGGCTTTACCATTGGCTTGGCAATGTTCATTCAGGCTAGCAAGATTGCAATAATATTACTAGAGGCTCATATTATTTGTCAATAAAGAAAAGATCACAATAGCAGTCTGCTTGAGGGTTTCCAAGTAGTTTTGGTGGGGAAAAGTCAGTGAAAATGTAGCAAATAAGAAACACTGCAATGGGACGAGAATGAACAACAATAAATACAGCAAGTTTTTATTTTATGATTATATAAAGCTGAATATAGACACTGTAATATGTAGACATTGGTGTCTCCCACGAAAACCTTTTCAAAATTTCCTTATCTTCAAAAGTATTTTTCAAAATTGACTTCTTCAAAATGACTGTTTCAAAATTTCCTTTCCCTTCAAAAATACTTTTCAAAATTGACTTCTCCTTCAAAATGACTTTTTCAAAATGATTTTTCTTCAAAACGACTTTTTCAAAATGAATTCTCCTTCAAATGGACTTTTCAAACTACAACAATGGGCCAACACCTGCCACACGGCTTTTACTGTAAAAGTGGAGTATGCTCTGAATAAGACAAGAAACACCAACATGGTTCATTTTGAGTAGAAAATATTCAGTTATAAGTACTCAAATATATTTAGGGTAGAGGTGCTCAGGCTGTAATACAAACCATCAACCCAACCAATTATTCATATCTTAAAAAATTGACCCAAAAAGTGATAAAGTGTGCATTTTTTCTCTTTTTTAAACTTTTTCTCGTGAAGACCCAAAAAAATTCTGAATTTCATTGAGCCAAAAATAAAACTTATGGACTCTTTTTTAAAAGTTGAAGACTTACTCTTACTAATTTTTCTTAAGCCTGGTACTAAAGTTTCTTTAATTTTTGCCCATCTTAGTACTAGTTTCTTATAAACCAGTTTCTTATAAATTAAAGACGTGTAACATGGTAAAACTGTGTGTTGAACATTTTTCGCATTCTTTCTATTGTAACAAAGTATTTACAACATCGTTATCCAAAATTCAAATGCAATTACGGAATATCGTCAATATCAACACACTATCTTGAAAACTCGAAGTATTTCCAAAAGCTGCCAATGTAACGAATACTCCAAACAATTGAATTAACCTTTTGTGACGCCACAACTCTTTTGTGTATCTCGAACTTGAAACCAAGTGTTACTTGCCAGGATAGGTCTCCTTTTCACAAATTCTTCTATCTCCTCTCTTGAGACCCTTTGACACCATGAGGAAGTTCTCTACTGGACCCTTTCCAACTTGTCAGGGACCTTTGGTACAAACCTTTTTTCTTAACAATTAATTTTGATGATATACTTTTACTGTTCGTTTGTGTTGTTTTGCTTGTATATGTTTCAATTAACTACATTCTGTGCATACTCCACCTTTCTGCCTTCTTGCTTTTTCCATTAAATTCCAACCAGTAGAAATACCCTAAAAGACCCCTTGCCTTCTTTAAAGATGCCTTTTAACTCACGCCTACTTCTAGGAAGTTAATCCACCGCTTCAATACTGTTATGCATAAAGATGTAACGAGCCTTCAGGTGTTGATTCCAACTAAAGTTGTATATATTATTCATGATGTAAACGATTTTTGATTATACAACATGTCGATGTAAAGTTTAAGAAGTTTCCAATTGGTAACGAATTAAACTCCTAGTGTAGTGTAAAGCCCTTGTTTAACCTGGAATTTTCATTCTCTGGGTGCAAACATCTCCGTTCCTTTTTACCACTCCCTGTCCTTCTAGCATTTGTCTTTACAAGTAGCGCCTCTTTTGCTATGTTGCTAAAACAACTTAAAAACAACTTGATGAGATTTCAGATAATGGTAACAACAACAACAATTACGCAGAAGCACGATTAACTGCGTCATAAACCAGCTTCTTCCGACTGAAAACCAGGGTCACCAGTGTCCAATAAAAAAACTGACTGTATCTTCGAAACCGAAACAACACCGTTGGTTACGTACATATTATGAACTCTTGATTTCAAATTTCCCGGTTGATTATGTTCCCTGCAATTAATATGGCTCTCGACTTCAAAATATAAATTTTACGAATCGATATTCATATAGCATGACCAGGGCCTCCGACGAAGGGGGGCATGGCCCCCCACTTTCTTTGAAAACAACATAATTTTTTTATACCCTCTGTTATGATGCCCCCTCCCTCCACTTTAAAACATGCGGACGGACATCCTCTTATTCAAAAATTTTGTGTGACCCCCCTGGGGGATGTCAAAATAGAAAGACTGTGGCACAGAATAGAATAGAACTTTTCTATTCTGTGACTGTGGACTGGAAAACCTTTTAGATTCTTTCATTGTCCTGGGCAACTTTTTGAATTTATGTTAACATATCGTTAAGAGCCATAAATTAAATAAAATGGTACGAAATTCAATCTGTTCTCCTGTGGCAGTGTTTTCTACGTAGTCATTTCTTTGGTTTCAGAAGCAGAAAAGAACGGATAATATTTTTAATCAGGTTTGCAATGTTTTGACAAAGTGAACCTCTCTTTCCACACAGATTTTCTAGCAAAGACCGAGGTACAACTTTTTGTTTGGGGGGGGAGCAGCCCTGATGGATAAGTGTAACAATAGCTATATTTTGCAAAAAAATATTCCACTTATGCTACCTAAGTTTTTTAGTAGGCACCCCCGGCCCCCTCCCCCCGGCGGTATCTCGTTCCTTGTTTTCTAATGATAATCAAGGACCACGATATATTTTTATTAATATTATTATTGTTATTATTATCATTATCAATCTAGATATCAACCTCACTCCTAGGTCGCCTCTCTTGGAGATGGGACTTGCGCACGAAATCTAAATTAATTTCACAGCGTGGTTTGCAAGAAAAGGTGTGAAAGGGGAATTATTATTCCCAATGTGAGGTAGAGTGGATACCTCTAACGAACACGCGATGGGGCTTGCATAAAAGACCCACTAGTATCGACAACTACATTGGCAAACAAGGTTTAAGAAGATGCTCGATACTGAAAAATGGTGGCAAACACAGCTTGCGCAAGATGTCCACTCAACCTTGAAAAAACGCGAAATTGAATTACCTGTTTATCGCTCGAGATCTCCGCAGATATGCTACCGAAGATTTCTTGTAAACTGGCTAGCAGTAATTGGTGAAAAGCTAGGCCTAGTGCAGGAAGTGGTTCATTTGGCTGTCCGTTATTTAGATCACGTTATGGACAAGTACGACCTTCTTTTGGAATCCCAGTTGAACATGCTTGCTTTGTGTTGTCTGTCATTAGCTGGTAAAACCTTTTCATAATTTTATTTTGATCTGTTTCCCTTATCTAGTAGGTTTCTTAATTTCCTCTCTTTTATCTTGATCTTAGACTGAAAACCAAGTTGTTAGTACTTAAAAACTTTTCACAACATGTTATATGCATCCGAAATTATCTTTTTTCCCGTTTGTATCAATTGGTGCCCAGTTTTTAAAGCACAGATGGCCCGAAGTGAAGTCAGTCAAGCGTCCTTCTAAAGACTGTAAAACACTATTTTAAGATATCAACTGTTAACTTAATTTTTGTTGTTTCCAGCTTCTGCTATAGAAGGTTTACACAAATTTATTAATTTCCCTGGATTTGTTGTATTGTTTGTATTCATTAGAGTTTGAATCATAAGCGCAGACTTAGGGGGGGCCTCCAGGGCTTACACCCCTCCTGACAAAAATTTGGGGGGCTCAGAAATAAAGAAGTTGGCTATCAATTTGATTAGACTTTCAATTTGATAGACTAATTTTTCATATTCTTAGTTTCACACAAAATTTCACACACAAGTTTCACACAAAGAGATTAAATCAAGATTAAATAGTTAATGATAAAGAAACTGTGTTGAACAGCCATTCTTAACCTCCGGCCTGTTTGCGGACTTGGGCACAGGTTAATGCTTTATGCTAAACTTTGTTTTTAGTTAATTCTCTTCTACATTTTATTTTGCTTTCATTAAAATGTAAAAAACATTATTTTTCCCAGCTACACTAAGATCATTCTATATCTTTGCAAGACCTTTGCAAGACTTTTTCATATCAACATTAAAATAGCAAAAAAACTTTGAACCTAGTTACAAGAGTTCCTTAAGATCATCGTCTTGGATTTTCTCCTGTTAGAATCTATTTTAGATGCTGCTTCTGGCCATTCCTAGATCTACATAACTAAAAATTCAGCCTTGACTAAGCAAATCCACAGTCATCACATTTTGGTCTCACTTCAAAATACATTTTCGCAGATCCATGGTCCTCGGTTTGACTTAAAGGCAATCTGTCTTGTTGTGGATTGGTTAATGAGAACAATAGCTGGAACAATAGCCTAAACACAATTCCAGCGCTCTGCCATATTTTTTACAATGCGATAAATTAAAGGGGTACTGGAAACAATAAAAAATCCCTTTGTTCTTATAATTAATCAACGTCGTGACAGATTGTCTTTAAGCGGTTCAAGTCGACCTAACAAAGATTAACATCCTAATCTAAAAATAGAGCAGTAGGGGCAAAACGATGACTATGTTATTGTTGAAAACTCAGTGGCCCACGAACAAAATCCACATGTTTTTCTGGTTCGGCACTCAAATTACTTAAGAACCCCTGACGTAAAAAGAATTGCCTTAGAACCCTCAGCTAGTCCTCTTTCTACCTTCTGCCATCAGCCCCCTCCATTATAAATTGCAGTTAATTCTTTAGCCCCCCCCCCCTGGAAAAAATATAAGTCTGCGCTATGGTTTGAATAATTTAGTATTACTAATTTAGTAATACTCATACACATTTAAAATGGGTAAATTAAGGCTTATATAGCTATTAGTAGGAGATGACAATGTTAGGGTTAATAGTTTCCAATTGTTATGGTTTCATTAAAATATTGTTAGATGGTTGATCACTTAAGCAGTGTGCTGGAAATATGATTGTGAAGATTCCAAAAAGGTTTATAGACCTGTTTCAATTTCAAATCCCCCCCTCCCCCCCTCCACCTTGGCACTTAAAATATTGGGGATAATTCATTAATTTGTACTACTGTACTCCTTCGAGTAAGGGAATTTGAAGAAGGTGTACTCTGTAGAGCTGTTTTGAACAGTGTGAAGTTCTGGTTGTGTTTCCCTTCATAACAAAGTATTTTCAAATTGGCACATTCTGGTTTAGAATTATGCTTGTTATATAAATATAGCCTGTTAAGTTAACTTCATATGCATATAATCTTTATATTTATATTGCAGCAAAGATTGGAGAATGTGAAGATAACATACCCAAAGTTTCTATCTTGAAGAAATTTTGCAATGAATCGTTTCTTATGCATGAGTTCATTTCCATGGAAGTAAAGATCTCCCAATGTCTTAACTGGAAATTGATTCTTCCAACAGCTGCAAACTTTTTGGATTTTTATGCAATGGAAAGCTTGTCTATTGACAACCTCCATGCAGGGGAAAACATTGTATGCTTGGTGCAGGCAAGATCATATTTAGAGAAATATGCAAAGTATTTTGTTGAAGTATCCTTGCAAGGTAAGTCTATGTGAACCTCTATGTTTGGTATCTAATTTTATCATCTATCGAAGGAAAAATATACATATTTATTGCAAAGCTATTCTAGGGTTTTGTTGCAATGCCTGAACTATGCTCGGATATCTAAAAGTTTGTACCTCCTAGAAGTAGATAAACCAATAACAGGCCTGGTTGTTTGTATTTTTGTAGGTGAGCTATGAATCACTCGCCTCAGTTGCTCAGGCGAGCTAAATCAAGAACACATAATGTACTTTGAGTACAGGGGCAAACACTTGGTCAAATATTGGGAGGAAGCAGGCCTGGCGGTTTGAGGCGAGCGATAGCTCGCGCTCCCCTCCACGCTCCCCTCGCAACCTGAGGCGAGCTATGAATTGCTCTCCTAAACAGAACATGAAGGGAGAATCGCTCCCCTAAAATTTCCATTCATTTGCCCTTTTCCTATTCAGAGAACCCTGAAAAGGTACAAGGGTTAATTGGTAAATTTTTTGCAATTAACTTTTTGCTTGTTGGGCGGTTTTTGTTATAATAGGCATGAACTTCGATCTATTTGGAAAAGGGTGGTTAAGCGAAAGGTACGTTTGTAGCGATTAGAACCTTTCAATCTTAATAAAACAGGCATATTTTTGGAAGGAAAGTCGAAGAAATTGGTAGGAACTGTAGATTGGGGGATATAATAAAACACCAGGTCCCTTCCAACAATAGAAACAAAACTATCCCTCAAAGAGAACAGGGTACTCTGTCTTGCAGATCAAAAGCGACAACCAAAACATGGAATTCCACCATCCAGCGGCATTTACTGAAAAACCCAGATTGGGTGAAAAACTATAACGGCGACATGTTTCGCATTTTGGCAAAGCATGATCATCGTTCCATCTAGCAGTTTGTGAATCTATCTACTATATAAACATGACAGACCGCTTTTGTGTAGACAGAAGGAATTTGTTTTCACCTTAGGACTCCGTTGGTAACATTTTCAATAGGAAAGCAGCAAAGATTGGACAACCTCAACAGTAATGTGCTCGCGTTTTCTGATTGGCCTATTTCAATCCAAAACTGGGTATTTTAGCGTAGAGTTTTCCATCTATGTTCTGATGTTTTATACTCTGAAGAGTGTTAGAGGTATAACTTAAGTTTGTTTCAAAATTTGTTTTTCAAAGCCATTTTTCAAATTCTGTACAACAAAAAGACTGTTTGGCAAGAGAAATGTTGTTTTTGTGTTGTGCCAGCTTGACATGAAACTGAAAGAGTCTGTTCTTTTAAATACTTTAAGTAAAGGGGGTGCTTAAGTCACGGTTAAAGCGAATACAAATTGAAATAAATAAAACAGCATACTCCTGACTGAGGCTATTAAAGGCAACCGACAGATACTAAAGGGGCTTAAGTCATCTGTCGATTGTCTTTAAAGTACATTCTATGTGTTACTGATTTAGCTCGCCTCAGCAAATGAGGGGAGCAATTCACAGCTCACCTATTAAAATACAAACGGCCAGGCCTGAGGAAGGTTCGAGCAGCAGCAGATTTCTTCAATCATTCTCCAAAACGGTCTGGCTTACTTGCCAGTAAAATCTAAGAATTAGTTCCAAAGTCGCGTCACACCCGCCTAATTGATATGTGTCGAACAAGGTGGCTAGCTCGTATAGATGGCTTAGATATAATGCTAGAATTGTATCAGCTTTTGTTGCCACTCTTGAAACAATTAAGCAGAATGTTGACAATACTTGGAATGCTGATTCAACTGACAAGACTGTGAACATATTTCACTATATAGTGACTTTCGAGTTTGTTATATCGCTTGTTATTGTATGCCGCTGCCTTGAGATCACAAGGCCCTTATAAAGCAGCTCCAGACTGCCTCTTATGATGCTGGTGCGGCTAGGGAAAAGGTCGTGGTATGAGGAGGCAGTTAGCGTTTTAAGGTATCGTGACTTAGTGACCCCAGGTCGGGCAAACAGTTTTAACTCGTAGCAGGCAAACGAAGAACATTATCACGACAAGTTTATCGGAAAAATGCTCCTTCCAATTCTCCTGCAGAATATTATTGTAGAGCCATCTTTTCCCAATTTAATGGTGGCGTTTAACATCTTTGGAACTATTCCAGTTATGACTTGTTCTTGTGAACGTTCTCCCTGACACTGAAGAGGGCAAAAACATACCTTAAAAACTTTATGTCGCAAAATGTGCTTGAATGGGTTAGCTCTGCTAAATTTTCATTGCGATATAAGACTTGACGTCGATGCTGTCATGAACGTTTTGCTCGAAAGAGTAATCGAAGATTTTGCCATTGGACGACCAATTCGCACTTAAGTGACATTCATCTTTTGAACCCAATATCTGCCTGGTTAAAGGGGTCTCGATATTATTTATCTTTCAGTTTCTTTTCGAGTCAATGTCATGTTTGGGCTTTTCATATCAGGGAATTTTCGGTACTATGCGAACAACTTTGTAACAGTTTTCATACTCTCATACGGTGGATGAATGAAGGCATTAAAGAAGATAATTGTCTATCGTAGTTCATTTAAATTGCCTACTTTTTTAGATTGGGAACACTACATTGTCCTTTGAGAGCAAATTTTTCACCTGCTTGACCTACGGAATCGCCTTTGAAGCCAATAAGGGTGTAATTCACCTCTGCAATCTTTGGCACTAGCAAAGCTATTTGATTTATCCAATCAGAAGTTGAGCTTGCTTCTGCAGCGTTACAGCAAACCAATAGGAATCAGAGTTGACTTATGCTATTGTTTGATGTAATCAAAGAAATCGAAGTTGACAATCACTGCTTCACCCCTGCCTAGGAACTTGTAACTAATTAAGTCGACCATAATGTATCAATCAATCGGGATTAAGGTAATTCAACTTTGCTGCAAAAGTGATAATTTTGGGTGTTCCCACGCGATAGGGCATGGCTTCTCTTTATGATAACCTTTGCGCAGGTCAGATTTCAGTCTGGACCCACACCTGTTTGTTGCACCCTGCAGGTAATCGACAGAATTCTAAACTCTTTATTAAAGATGTTGCAAAGGAAACTGTGATGAAAATGTAATTGCCTAATAGCTTTTTTATTCAGGACATCTTATTATAAAAACAGGTTCTTTTTATGCTAGAATGTTCTCTTTGTGATTGACAGTTTTTCCATATAAAACAAAAGTTGATACAACCTGGGTTGAGCCAGTTGTTTAAATTCTTTAAACGTTTAAATACTAAACTTATTTTCGTAAGATTGCAGATAATCGACCTTACACCTTACTTCAAAAGTTGATAAATATTCAAACGGCCACATTCTTAGAGAACAGCACCTCAATGATCTAAAGGAGTATATTTTTGCTGCTTCTAGAAACTGACAAATACACTGAATAGACTTCTATTCATTGTTTTACTAAGCTGAGTTCCTATTAGGTCTTTTATAGTAAGTTGTTACCTTCCACAGGGCTGCTGTGTTGGATCCATGATGTTTATTTCATTTTTAAATTTCTTTCGACATCTCTTAGTTAAAGCATCAGTTTGCTATGTGCCCAGCTAGACTAGATATTTGTTAAGCCAAAATCCTTAAATAAAGATTAAGCTTTTCAATGATTTGCCAATTTCAGTAGGTTTTTTCTAGTAAGTTGGCTCTAAGTGTGAATGTTTGTTTACGATTGACTATGCTTACATGTCTACGTTTAATGAATTTGAATTATATGACAAAATTGAGGAGCAAAGGCTTAAAAAATCAATTGACATCTAAATGAAAGATTTGAAAAATTTGTGCCGTAAGTCCTCGAATTAAGCCCCCCCCCTCGAAAAAACCCCTCCCCCTCGAATAACCCCCTCAAATAAGCCCCCAAAAAGCCCAAATATATCAAAAATAGATAAGCCCCCAGGGGCTAATTCGAGGATTTACGGTATCTTCAAATGTTTTGAAATTCTTCAGGGATTTTTTTACGAAGTTATTTAATCTTTAAGAAGTTATTTAATTTTACAGAAGTTATTTAGATTTTCACTCCACACGAAGAATGAAAATGCCTGCCATAAGTCTTCCTTCATCACACTTGATTTTTGAATATTTTATACTGTATCCCCTGCTCCCCTTAGAAATCATGTTTATTTGCGATTCTTGGAGGTTCTGGATGTCCAATTGACTCCTTTCAGATAGCTATAATATTTGACTCTACGGCAAACAGTGTTTGAAAGAGACAGGGATTCCAAGGCCTTTTTGCATAGATTATAGCCAAAAATACAGTTTCTTCCACGGGAAGATCGAAAGACAGACTGTTCATCTCTTTACTCAAGGGTTTAACCTATCTAAGGCCTAAAACCTCTCACAGGTACCAAATCCATGAGCTATAATACTTGTCTACAGGTACCAAATCCATGAGCAACTTAAATACATGTAAGCATAATATAAAAAGTCATTTTAGCTAAAAGTCATAAGACTGGAAGAAAATATTTCTACCTCTAATTAAAATGTTAATGATCATCTAAAAATAAAAGCATTTTAAACAGTTTTTCATTGAATAACTTTGTAAGGGGACCAATGTGGAAGCAAGGTCTTTCGATCTTTTGATGCTGTCCCTGCCACTTCAGTTTAGTGGTCTCCTAATTTTTTAAACTTTTTATGTGTTTAGTGGCATGAAGTACTCACTTGTTTAGCTAATAAGCAGCTTTGACCGCTGAAATGACCGCCATTGCAGTATATGAATTTCTTTCAATTTTTCAGACTATATTTTTCTTCAATTCCTTCCGTCTTTGGTTGCATCTGCCGCCGTCCTTTGCGCAAGAATTTGCTTGAAGATCACACCTGAGTGGCCAATGAAGATGGCAACCCTTACAAAGTATTCAGTTGCTGATTTACGGAGATGCAAAGATTGTATGATGCGGTGAGTGATATTTGTCCCATGTGACATGAGTTTTGTGTAATCCATTGTGGAGTTTGGGAGTGCTGTTCCAGCTTTTCCAGCAATATAATGGGAACTTCTTTTCTGCATTGTCACTCTTGGAATATGTAAGACTTCAAAATTAGTTTGTAGCCTTGAATTTGTTTGGTTAAATGCGGTGTTATTTTAAATATTTTGAAAAGAAGAATGTACTTTCTAATTTAAGCGAGCTTGAGCATTCCGTCCACTGCAAGATTGCCAGCTAGTTTCAGGTGACAATGTCTTTCTACTTTCCAGAGTTCGGGGTGAGGCATAGGGTTTGGCTCATGGTAGGGATCCTGCTTAAAAGGCTATAAAACCTTTATCAGCAAACATTTGAGTAAACTTAACCTTTAGTCTGACACTCTTTAGAGTTTAAAAAGTCAGAACATAGACCGAAAACTCTACGCCAGGAAATATATATGCCCAGTTGAGGATCGAAGCTATAAAACCTTTATCAGCAAACATTTGAGTTAACTTAACCTTTAGTCTGACACTCTTTAGAGTTTAAAACGTCAGAACATAGACCGAAAACTCTACGCCAGGAAATATATATGCCCAGTTGTGGATCGAAATAGGCCAATCAGAAACGCGAGCACATGACTGTTGAGGTTGACCAATCAGTGCCGCTTGCCTATGGAGAATGTTACCAATGGAGTCCTAAGGTGAAAACGAACTCCTTTTGTCTACACAGTAGCGGTTTTTCGTGCTAATGTAGATAGATTCTAAAACTACTAGATGGAACGACGATCGGACTTTACCAATAATCTGAAACATGTCGCCATTATAATTGTTTGCACGATCTGGGATTTCCAGTAAATGCTGCCCGATAGCAGAATCGCAGGTTTTAGTTGTACTTTTAGATCTGCAAGACCGAGGTGGCTGTTCTCTTTGGGGATGAATTTGGTTTCTAATACTAGACGGAACTTGAACGTGTAAAATCGTGCCTGGCAAGTTGAGCGTTTAAAATTTCAAATTCAGCAAAAAGTTGCTCTCTGCTTATTCGTTGTGGTGGGATACAAAACTCAAAACCATTACCTAAGACAAATGTTTCGGTTTCAGAGAGAGAATAGTCCGATAAAGTAAAAATGTGTTTTTTCTAATTTCACCAAGCCGGCAAAACGTTTCCTAATTAGCACACCAATATTCCTATCATGTTTTCTGTGGTCTGTTTTAGTGTCCGCTGGTCAATGTCAGAAATGAAGCAGCACAGTCGAAAATTGTCAAAGAATGTAAGAAACGATGAGTTTTAGACCATTGGCGTTAGACCATTGGCGTGTATACAAACGTTTTAGATTCAGATTCCTAGCGTAGAGTTTTCGATCTATGTTCTGACGTTTTAAACTCGGAAGAGTGTCAGACGAAAAGCTTTAGTTTACTCAAATGTTTGCTTTTTTTCAAAGCCATTTTCAAGTTTTGTACCACCAAAAGATTGTTTAAAATCGTTATCATCAGATTACGAGACAGCTGTTTCATTTTTACATTTGAAAAATCTTTGGATTCATCTATTGGAACAATGGTTTCCTCTAAGGCAAAGCCAGAGTACAGGGGGAATTCATCTTTCTCGAATCTTGAGCCAAATATGCATTCAATAAACTGATTATGTTTTCTGTTAAACTGTTTCAGTAGGTCTTTTCTCATGAGAAAAGACCAACTGAAAAGGTTTAAAAGATGTTTTGCATTGTTTTCCTTTATAACACAGGATACACGAAATAGATGCAAAGAGAACGAAAGATGCTAATACTTCAGAAGAAAATGCCTGACGATGTTTCTCACCTAAGATAAAGATAAGAATAAGTATATTTATTTCTGTTTTATTTAATATCAGTTTTGGGTTGTAATGTTGATACATTCATAGTATATAGTATGTACTAGTTGGGCAATGAAGGGCTGTATAAAATTTGTTTAACAGTAGAGAGAAATTATAACTATTTAAGGATATTGACGCGAATTTAAGATATCAGTGTAAGCTTGGGGAGTTAACGTTCAGTTTTAGAGTTATTTTTACGATAGTGTCATATCAATAATTTACTTATTCAAAGACTACGTGAAGAATCATTGAACTGAAAACAAACTTGAGACCGCCCAAAGAAAAAAGGTAAGATTTTCGCCATATTTAGTCAGTTTTATACCCGGAAATTGAACAGCTTCGTAGCGACGGATGTGTTGGGTTATTAATATTATCAGGGTGCTAATGCATGCATTAAAATGATTTGACTTATAAATGCCAGTATATTTGCTTTGCTAAAGCTATTTCTAAGTCGTATATTGAATAATGTAAGTTGTAAAGCTTATATTATTCATATTTACTGTTCAAAAACAGGGATGCCACGAGACAAATTTTATGGCAGCTTTTCAGAGAGATTTTGATGTAAAGTAATATTCAAACAACGCAGTCGAAATAATAAATAGAAAATATTATGTTGGATTAAAAACGTCTTTGTATTATCCGACAGGTTTCGGATTCAAATAATTTTGTTATCAATGATAAGTTTTGCCATGCAGATTAGTAACTTCCATGGTAAAGTTTAATCATAGATAATCCAAGCTGCTTAAGATGCAAGCTTAGTCGAGCGTTTGCTTACAATACTTCGCTTGACGCTCTGTTGTAACCAAATCGTTTACTTTACCTTCAGACTTGATTTTAGCATCTCTTCTGTGACTGAACTGAGAGAAGCAAACTTATTTTATTTGGATTATGTTCCTGTGAAAAGCCAATATTCCCTTATATCAAGGGTTCTGTGCTCACGGGTATTAAATGCCCTAGACCCTTTCTCGTCTTTCCAGATGCACGAATAATGGTCTCACTCACGTTCAAATTTGGGCTGATGGAAAAAGTAACTTCTTCATAGTTAGCTGAAATAATTCCATGTAAAGGATTTCTGTGTATTTCAGTGTGAAGCACTTAATGTACAAAAAAGATTTTATTGGATATGGACACGTTTTCACATATCTTCTCGTGAATGTTTTCATTGTTCCATGGTGAGAGTTAGCGTTATTCTCTTCCCTCCCCAACTCCCCCCGATCGATTCCCCCCTGATCGACTCCCCCTGATCGACTCCCTCCCCCGATCGAATCCCCCACTCCCCGAACATCGGTATGAATCCACGATAATACCCAATATTGAAATTACCAAACGCAAATGTGAAAGAAAAACTAATGTTAATATAACGTTGTATTCTTTCTATCTAATGCATTCACAAATAAATTTTGCTTGCAAATTAAACAATGTTCATTTCACAGAACCTTATTTTTCCTTGTTTTCCTTTCCTGCTACGGTTGTGTTTTACCTTCATGTGTTTCTCAGATCTCAACTATCGCCTAAGTTAAATGCTGTCAGTAATTTTGGCTCAAGTTTAGTTCTCTTCAGGGTTGCCGAAAGGTTTGGGAGGCCCTTGGGGCAAAGGTGAACGGCGAGGCTCCCTTTCGCGGGCAGAAAATTCTTGTAACCTTTTCACTTTAGCTAAGCTTTAAAACGCACCCAGAACCTCTCTTGCAGTCATTTTCTTGTAATCGCTTTGATCGTTTTTGGGCTTACTTTTGTTAAGTTTGATGAATTCGATTCTTAAAATGGAATTCATTACTTTACGATGCAGGGCCGTAAATCCTGTGGGGCCGAGGGGACTGCACCCCCCAAAAATCTGGAGCAAAACGATTTTTCGAGAAATTATCGTCATTTTCTTTGAAAGAAAGGAATCCCTGGTAACTGGGTTAGAACCAAGCTAAATTTTTCTGTGGTTGCAACAAACCTCAGCCACTTTGTCATGGTGTCAAGCACAAGTTGCCTATTGTTGATGGCTGCTATTTATGTTTGCAGAGTGGTGTCGAATCGGTGACGATGCCCATGGGGGGATTAGCCCCAAATATCTTATCCACCGGTCACCCCTTGAATGAATCTAAAAAAACTTGTTAGAAAAGAATCGTTTAAGTCGCCATAAACCTCGACAAACCAACATTACGCATATTTTCAGTACACGCCTTTTTATAGAAATCCTAACTCAAAACCTAGGTCCTAAAGTTCCAATTTTTGGACCTCTGTTAGTCGAATTGCGGTACCAAGACCTCCATAATAGCTCCTTAATTTTAACTGCACATTTAGTGACATGAAAATTGCATAGACACAAAAAAGAAATTCTGAGTTTTGCTTTTAACTGTAGCTAGGAACAAGGCCAAAAGACAAAGAGGGCAAGAAGTAAAATTAATTTGCGTAAAAGTACCACGTCAATAAAGAAGTACTTTTGCATTTAATATTGAGAGAAGCAATGACTACACACTTTATTATTGGAATTCAATAATTTTTGGTCAGCCTCTATTGTTTTAAGAACATTTTTGTTTTGAGCCCGATTATGTTCTTAGATACATCCTTATTTTTCTAAATCGTTTGCCCATCAAACTGTTTCATAACACATACCATAAATTGCTAAATTGCTTTGTGGTGCCATGACCCACTTTACACTTTTTTTTCATTCGCTCTGCTTCCCCCATCCCCCCCCCCAATTGAGATGACAGATTTACGGCTCTATTACGATGCCCCCCGTAGACTTCAGGGTCATTGGGCAATTTGCCCCTCGCTGGTCCTTCTTCTCGGTGGCAATGATTCTCCTTGAAAAGCACGTTTAGCATTTCATTTTATGATGTCAATGAAAAGGTTGTTCACTCTTTCATTGAAATCTTAAATTCCCCATTTCTTCAGAGACATAAAGTTATGGCTGTTTCGACTCGCAGATTCACTAAGGGCTAATGGATCACGGCTCTGGCTAAGCCGTTAGCCAGCCGACTTCAGTAGATACATTATTGGTCAATAAGCCGCTGCTTGTCCACACAATACTGTCCCTTGTATCCACCGAAACAAACCGTTCACGCCTTTTGTAAGCGGATAGTTATCCCAATGCAAAATATGTACATTTAAGACGTCAAATCGGCGCTTCGGGGGTTTTCCATTAAAGAGAAGCATGTGGCGAATGTAAACAGCGCATTTGTACGAGTTCCATAGCAGCAATGTAGAATCAGTCGCAGAAGAAACCAAGAATAAAACTGGAAATTTTGTCGTAAGTTTCTTTCAAATTGTTGGCTACATACAATGTTTTATCGAACGCAATGATTTCTTTTTCAAACAAGACTCGTTTATGCGAGTTTCAGATTTCGTTCACGGTCGAACTCCGTATTGATGGAGAAATTATGATGTGCCATGGAAGAGAAGTGTGATGGCATATAATGTTGAAACGTAACAGGAGCATAAACGAAGGGGTGATGGAAACGTCGGTAACATGATAAACCTCGAGCGAATTTTGTTATATAGTGTATTGTTAGAGGTGATTATGATTCACTTATCGCCAGGAATCGTATTACAGAATCAATGGTTGCTGCTCGATGGTGGGAACTTTTGGTTGTGGAATCCAATTGTGTTTTAAAACAGGACGGTGGGAAAATCGTGAATAAACTTACGTGAAACCGCGCGGATTAGACATAGAAGATTGTTTTCCATTTCTGTCATTTCTACTGTTCATGGGGTTCTATTCCAAAAACCGTAGAATGACAGAACCTGCTCATTGATATTCGTGTATCAATTCACTGTCAAATTTCTTGCAAATTGTATTGAATAGCCTCATTATTCTGGCTGTCTGATAAAGTTATAGTTTATGTAACGCTAGAAATATTGACATCGCTCCGCAACTCCGCAGAAAGCTCCGCGACGTTTCATTTAAAACACCCTCCCGTATCATAAATCTGACTGTTTACTATTACACCTAACTTGCTGTAATGTTTATTTAGATTTCCTTACTTGTTCTCATTCATTAGGGACTTTATTGATTAAGAGGTCTTTATGATGAAAGATGTTAATTTTGTATAGGCGGTGGGACGTGTTTTGGCCTTGCGTTCGTATAATTACGTCATCTTCGGAGCCTCGCCCAGAACTCTGTCTCAAGGGTGATCAAACGTTTGTTTTTTGAGGTGCCGGTGGAGCATTATGCGTCAATGAAAGTACTCCTTAAAATTAAACTCTAAAGTTTTCTCGTGTTTTCAGTGGTGGAAATACATTGTGATAGAATAACTAACTTAAACAACTATTATTGTAAAGGATAGAACCTCTGGAGAGAGAACGGCTTTTCTTATTCTTGCGAGCCCGGGGTTCTTGTGAAACAGGTATCAGAATACACTTTTATGTGTATACACAGAATACACTGAATGGCATAAAAGAGGTTTAGTTGTTTTCCTTCTATTTTGATTATCGAGGAAATCAAGAGACTTGTAGGGTTAATTGATCAACTGTTGGAATTTCGGAAACATCAATATTGAAGGTCAGTGCTTCAAAAATCCTTTTCACAATGTCAAATTGCTGCTCTGACCTGCACTGCTGTCAACCTTCATACTCAGAAGCCAATTTGATGCGAAAGTTTTAACCGCATTTTCTTTTTTGCATAATCCTTGCATTCTATTTCCCGATTTTCGCAAACAGTAACTCTTTTCTCACTGTGTAGAGCGTTATTATTTCGTCAAAGAATAACATTAAGGTTTTCGTTTGATTTTAGATATTAAAGATTCCGGCGACTGTCTGAAGAAGATGGAGTTCAAGAAGTCAGTCCACATCGACGTAACAGAGCACGAAAGAACGCCTGCTGAAGAGTCCTTTTACGAGTCTTATTTGTTGAAAAAACATTCGGACGTTGGCAATCTGTACGCATCAAATGTTTACCAAGGGCAGTGTTTCCAAAAAACTTTGAAGCATATTAACAGAGAGAGAAGTGTTCAGGCCGCCGAGATTGACAGGGAAATGAAAAAGGTCAAGAAGAAAATGTTCGATTTAAAAATGAAATCATCAAGCAATAGAATTTTAGGGCAAAGACAATTTTCCTTTGATTGCGTCAGAAATATAAAGATGAATGGTTTAGATGACTGTCACGGTGATATTTTGTCATTTCCAGTGATTGGCGGGAAAGGGAGAAACCCCAAGCGTGGTGAAAGGCGTTGTAGCCGGACTTTATCAGACAGCTCGAACAGAGGGCTAAACGCCATTCAAAGTGGATCTTTAAGGTCTAGCTCGGCTAGACAAGTGGGAAAAAGTCTGAATAAAAGTGAAGGCAGTATCATCAATTATGGTGATGGAAGACCTTCATCGTCTCAAAGTGACGGGTTTCGCCTCTCCAACACTGGAGGTTTTAAAAACTCGAAAACAAACTCTGTCCCCGTCGTTTTTGTGACGGAGATTGCAGAACCTGCGTCAGTTAATCCGTCCTCAAGTCTTCGTGAAAAGTGTCGCGACCGAAATAGCGAACAGAATGACCAAGGTAAACCTAGCTCAAAGGCTTCCTTGCAAAAGCAAGCTCTCTCTCCAATTCACACGACAAAAATAAACCCAAGAGATGGTTTAACGCATTCAACCAGTGAAAGTAGTTTGTGCCTGAATGGAAGGCTACGTCCAGCTAAGTCGCACCAGGATCTCGCCTGCCTAGATAGCGCAGCTCCTATTGAAAGAAGGCCGCGTTCACACACAATTTCAGGTTGCAGCAAGGCGGGCCCTGAATTCGAAGGCCTTGAAATGCGTTACGTACCGCGAGAAGATCGAGTCAAATCTGCAAGTACAGGGGGGCTTCCAAAAATATAACTTCAACTTGACAATGACGCTGTTCTTCCAAAATGACAACCGTTCATAGTAGTTTATGGACGAAGTAATTATCTGTTCGTATGTACAGCGTATTGTTTTAGAAGCGAACAGACCGTAGCTAGCCTTATGAATGCTTTTTTTATTTCCGGTGAATCTTTGCCTCTGCGGGCAGAGAATCGCAACCGCTGACATCCATGTAAAATACCTGATGTTGAAATATCTTAGTTGTTTGCCCTTAAATGTAGAGAAATGATTGATGATTATGGTTCAACTGTTTCTCGTCGATATCCTACCACCTTGCATAATTTACTTTTTAATCTTTCAAATTTTAGCTACACTGCCCATCACTGTAGCATATAAAGCATGATTCAAATGCCACAAAAATAATTCGACAAACTTAATTTAAACTTAATTTAAATAGAAGTTTCTTTTTTAGAAAGACATTATTTACGTTCTTTGCCGCACTTCCCACAATGCATTGTAGAAAAAATTCCCTTGAGGAAAATTATGTTTCGTAAACCAAGAGATTTTGCCATCTTGAGGGGGAGGGGGGTGCCTAGTCGGCAAATTTTGAAATTGTCAGCAAATAAAGAATGGTTGACCCAGTTTGTCGGCAAACTGGCCTTCTCATGCCAGTTCATTGTAAGGGCTTTGCTTACTGGTACACGGACGACTACAGTAAGAGTTTGGAAATACCATTCATCGTAAAATCTGGTCATAACTGCGGGTCGCATCAGCAATTATTGATGATGCATGTATAAAAAAGGCAAAGTATAAATTGAGAATGTTAGAAGAAAACAAATGAAATACTCGAAGAAATAAGAATAGATACTACACTTGCATACAACCAATCGATGTAGGTTAAGGGGAGTGAATGGCTTGCATGAGGAGCTTTCAAGCCCTTTTTTGTAATTTGAAGGTTTTTTACACGTTACCCTCACTCCCAATACAGTTCATTTAGTGAAAGGAAAACTTGAATTTGTTTTGCTAAAAGCATAAAACAACTTTTGGTAGCACATCAACAACCAATTATAAACAACAGATATATATTAGCAAACACCAAAATATGAATACCTCAGTAAATCATTAGTCTCCCTGGTTAGGTAAATAGTATAATCTAACTATGGTATTTGGTCATCAATGAAAAATTAATATTCTTAAAAATATATTGAATCTCTATTGAAACTAAAATATACATTTTGTAAATAATTGGTTTAAAGACTTAATGGTTTGTTTTTTTAAGTTGAACATATCAAAACTTCTGGTACAATCGTTTTAAAAGTAGACCGTAACTTATCTTCTTTTTAAAAATTTTTAAAGGGCGTATTTCAGGCTCATTCTTGAAGTGCTCATTAACAGCTTTTCCCAACATTAATGGTCCACGCCAAAGCTTCAAATAAATTTAATATATGTATTTCAGAGCCTTTGACACCAAATGATCAGTGGAAGTATTTTCACTAAGAAGCTTTCCACTGCAAGGTTAAATTTTATTCCGGGACTTTGACTTTTATGTTGTTTTCTCGCGCCATATTTTTTGAAAAGTCATTGGAATGAATGATATAATGTCAGATACACAGGTGCAAAATCCTGGAACGAAATTTTTATCATCATCAAGCAATGCCCCTCAAAGTTGAGTTTTCGCCAGCAATTGAAAATCCATTTGTTCTGAAGTAAATACTAAATATTTGTAGTTAAATTCACAATTCTGGTTGCATTTTTCAGCCAAGGCTGTAATTCTCATAGTTCTTTAAAGCATGCTGACTTTGGAGTGGCTTTGGTGGGCTCTTGCTTTTGGGGCCTGTTCTGGGTACAAAACCCTTCCTTGGCGTTGGCTGTGGATTTGGGTTTTTTGTCTGGAATGGGCTTTCTAGGTCTCTTGCACATAACCCGTCCTTTCGAATTATGGATAAGTTAACATGTGGATTTATATAAGGAGTTCTCTCTCATCGATTAGTCTATCTACTGAGAGATCTCCTCCTTTTAGGAATGCCCCGCATACAGGTATCATATGTTCTCTTTCTTGGTTTAATTTTGGTGCTTATCGTTTGTTTTATATCTTTATTATTGAATTTGATGTATTTTGCATTGGAACTTGTAAACTGGGGTCGCAAAAGTAAGGAAACGGTAGATCAAGATGGTGGCCCACAGTGACCACGGGTCTAAGCCGAGTGAAGGGACTTGAAAACGATAGGTTATGGCGGGAAAATGCATTCGCCATTCCCTCGACTTTTGGTTAAAAGAATATTTAATGAATGGTTTTCCTGTTTTGAGGACAAATATTCAGCAAAATTTTGAAGCATTGCTTCAAAGCAATTTTGTAAAGGATTCTTTGAGTATTCATGAAAGATGACCACAAAGTGTCACTTTGAAGAAAGGAGAACGAAAAATGCTGAAATTCGAAGCAACTGCTTAAAGCTTCTTTTTCATGAAAAAAATATAACTGAGAAAGTGACGTTAGCAGTGCACTTTAATTTTAAAGTTTCAATACTTACACAAGGTGAGTTGCTCTACATTTGATGTTATAACTGAGAAAGTGACGTTAGCAGTGCACTTTAATTTTAAAGTTTGAATACTTACACAAGGTGAGTTGCTCTACATTTGATGTTAATGACTTGTTTATCTTAAATTCTGATTTACTCATTATCTAAGCATATGACAATAAAAAAATCAAAGCAAAACGTTCAACGTTTATTCTGCTTTTAAAATTATTGAAAAGAATTTTCTACACCCAAAGCGTCTATGTTATTTAGCAAGAAAACTATTTTGATCACTAAACAAAAGCTTTAGAAATTGTTCACCCGATATCACTTTTGATAACCTAGAGCCTGATATCTCAGCCAAAATGATCTTCTTGGTAATATGTTTAAAGTCAGAGCAAAGGTGCACGTATTAAGTTTCAAGTTTAACTAAATTATCTTATACTTATTAAGTATTGTCTATACTTTGAGCCAATTTTTTATGAATCATTTGAAAATATTTTTCAGAAATTTTCTGAAGCACCTGTCCTACGTTTTCCTGACTTTTCACCCACTTTTTTATTCAAAACCCATTTGAATTACGCAAAAGAATTCTTGGTGCCAAAAGGCCAAAAATCCTTAAAACTGGATTTTTGTGACATCATCACTTTACCACTCTATTGCCTCCTAGCTACGACCACAGTTGGGCGTAGTAATTCTCCTCGTCGACTTAATGCCACTCCTTTACAGAGACACCATCTTTTAAAAGCCTCGTTCAGATGTTCATGCTTGCTCTTGGCTCTTCCATGTTTCTTCCAACAAGATAAGGTATTTGGCAGCATTGGAGATGTCTTCCTCCGATTCAGAAGGAGAGGATTGGATTCCATACGGAGAGCGTGAGGAATGGAAGGATGTTGAACCTATCAAACAAGATGATGGTCCACACCCAGTAGTTTCAATCGCCTATAGTGATAAATGTAAGTATTATTTTGGCATAGGCCGTTGCGCCTATTCCCAAAAGGTTTTTGCCAAAAGGTCAAGCGGAAAACTCCAATACTAGAAAAAAATAGCATCAGGATGTTTGCTTTAAAAGGTTGTATAAAGAGAATGTTATTTATTACCTGAGAAAAATACCTCTCAATGTAGTTTTTAGAGTGATGCGTTTATGAAGAGGTCCAGTGTGCAGCCCAACTGCTCGAGATAATTTTCAGCGTTTTACAGTGCACTTTAACCTTTATTCAACTTTGACAAACATTTAGGGTTTGACCATAACCCCCATCACAATGCAAAGAATCAGTTTTCACACAACCTTTGCCACAGATTTTGACACATGCTAGGGAGCATATAGTGCTTTGCAATGTACCAACAACAATCATTATACCAAAACATTCTTTATATGTAGGTCAACCTGGCCAATTGCGCTCTGGCAATGATCTCACCAAGATGTAGAAATGAATAGTTATCTGAAATTGAGTTTTCCTAAATAATGCTAATGTAAATACTGTGTGTCATAAATTATTATGAACAGAGCTAATCTGACCTTTTGTGTGTATTTGACATATACAGGGTGGATACTAGCAAATGAAATATTACAAGATTTACTAGGGAAACTCTTGGCTAGCATTTTTCTTATCTTGTTTTGTCTTGGAAAGTAATAAAAATGTGCTTATTCAAACAGATGACTCTACTGGTGACACCAACACACCTTGCATTTTTTTATTTTGACATTTTTACAATTACTTATTGTATTTGCCTTGTCAAAGCCAATGCCTTATCATCCAAAGAATATGAAATTAAAATTGTCTGTCTTTGTAGTTCGGGATGTCTATGATTACTTCAGAGCAGTACTGAAAGCTGATGAGAGAAGCGAAAGATCATTTCAATTAACCCATGATGCGCTCTCACTGAATCCGGCAAACTACACAGTTTGGTACTATATGATTTTTATAGTCAATAAAACCTCTTACTAGTTGTAATTCAAACATTATACTGTGTTTTTATTTTGAAATACAGATTGATATTTTTACCCTTGGGTATAATTCCAGTCAACATTTTGAACATTTAATTTCAGTAACATGATGCACAACATCTTAAAATGCAGACCTGGCCATTGGAGGCAAGGGATAGCTGGCACTCACTTCCAAGCTTCCCTTGCAACCTGAGATGAGTTGTGAATCTTTCCTTCCTAAACAGAACATGGAGGAAAAATTGCTCCCCTAAAATTTCCATCCATTTACTTTTTTCATAATCACAGAACCCTGAAAACTTCGAGGAGTTAATTGGTTTTCTTGTAAGAGCAATTTCTCCAATCTTTGCATTTTTGCAATTAATTTCATGCCTGCTGTGCATTTTTTATGATTTTCATGAACTTCAATCTATTTGGAAAAGGATAGTGGAGCAAAAGGTACATTTGCAGAGCTTAGAACCTTTCAATCTTATGAAAACAGGCATATTCTTGGTAGGAAAGTACAAGAAATTAGTAAGAATTGTTGATTGGGGGATAGAATAAAATAACAGGTCCCTTCCAGCATTAGAAACAAGACTCTCCCCAAAAAAGAACAGTCTACTCTGTCTTGCAGTTCAAAAACGACAACCTGAACATGCAATTCCACTATTGAGTGGCATTTTCTGGAAAACCCAGATGATGCAACAATTATCATGGCAACATATTTTGGATTGTTGGTAGAGCCTGGTCATTGATCTACATAAACATGAACATGTTATTTTAGTCCTTTGTGCCACGTTTTGAATTACTGTTCTTTTTTCTTTTGTTTCTTTTAATTTCTTGTTTATTTTTTTTAAAGTCATTTTTAATTTCTTTTGTGTGTTATCTTTGTGGCATTTCCGGTGGCATTATATCTCTTTAAGTTCCGGTTTCCATTACTCTCTTTTCATATCTTTCACCCTTTTTCTCATTCAATTTTCATTTATTTCTGAACGAATTGCCCTGAGCCACTCCGTTTTGGTTAAAACGATAATGTGGGTGTTCCCGATACTCCATTTTTATTAGTTCTCATATCCTTTGTTTGAGCTCTTTTTGCTGAGATTAAATGACTCAGTTGTTGAATGCCTCTGTTTTCGCTGTTCCCTATCAAACGATGCTTTTTTGAATTACTCCGTTTTTGAATGACACCACTTTGAACAACGTTTTTGAATGACTTGGTTTGGTATCAAATGACTCCATTTTTTATCATATTAATGGAACTCAGAGTCTAAAACGGATTCATTCGAATCTGTTCGCACAAAAATATGGAGTAATGCCTAAAAACTTGCATGCTTTTCTTAAATTTTTTTGTTGTCAATAAACTTCTTCTAAATTCCGTAAAAATTATTTGATTCTAGAGGAACCACAAACGCTCTTTTCAAACAGTGATGCACCCTTTCAAATACATAAATGGCATTTAAAAGGCTATCAGTCTTCATAAAAATTGTAAGGTCTCCATTTTATGAATTGCAAGCCATCGCACACCGTTGCACTCTTAGACTTTTCAAGGTGTGCAATTACCAGCACACCACCAATTTTCATATTACCAGGACTGTTCTGATATTTTGTTTGTTTTTAGAGCTGATTTGAGAGAAAGCTTGTTACCATTAATACTTAAATGAGTTGAATCTATCTTCCTTTTATCAAAGGCACTTCCGACGCGAGATTCTGAAATCTTTGGATAAAGACCTAAATGCAGAGTTGCATTATATTACCAATGTTATCAAGGATCAGCCCAAGAATTACCAAGTATGGTGAGTTTGAAATCACTCAGAGACTATTCTACGACTAACACTAATGAAATAGTGAGGTTATCAATACCAAGAACCATCCCTGGTTTGCTGTGAAGCATCCCATGTCAGGGTTAGACTCCGTGGACCATGTTATTGTCCTGATTTATTATTTGCAATAAAGTAATTAATTGGAAATAAGTTGATATAAGGCAAGCAATCTCTGTTAGATATTGAGGCAATTGCAATTATAATCAGTACTGTGGATGTAAGTTTCCATATATTTTGTCAATGTCAATTGTTATTTGGAACAAATTGTCTTCTACTATGCATTGCAGTATTATCTCTTTGCAGCTCTGTCGGTTATAGAATATTGCCATATATGACCTGCTTTGGATTGTGACATATCTTTGGATATGACCTGCTTTTGGGTGGGACATACTTTCCAATACCACATACTTTCCAATATGTTGTATTTCAAGATTTGACATACTTTTGGATTTAACATACTTTCTTATGTGATTCTTTGATTCAAAACTATTTTCAGCTCCTCAAAACTGAATTTAAACTTGTTTACAATGATGTAATTAGAACAAGGAATCATGATTAAAAAGGCAGGTTTGTTGTTTGATGATTGGCGTTGTGAAGAAGAAATTTCACACTTTGGTGTTCTTAGCGTACAGGGCTTCTTAGTTCCTACTCCAGGTGTCATGCATGCTTAATGCAATCACCAGGGTAGCAGTCTTGTGTTGGTTTATAATTCCTGCCTTGAAATTGATAAGACCTTAACAAATTGTTTCTAAATTCATTTCCATAAGGTACCACAGAGGTGTAATAGTGAGTTGGCTAGGGGATCCATCCAAGGAGCTTGATTTCACTGCAGAAATTCTTAAAAAGGATGCTAAAAACTATCATGCTTGGCAGCACAGACAGGAAATTATACGCGATTTTAACTTCTGGGAAGGTGAATTAAGTTTTGTTACTCATCTTCTGGAAGAGGACCTCAGGAATAATTCAGCGTGGAATCAGAGATATTATACAATTGTTAACACAACTGGCTTCACAGACGATGTTGTAAAACGAGAGCTTGAGTGAGTGAAACTGTTTTTGTACCAATGTTTAGCTAAGACCACGAAATTCAGCATTTCATTTTTACTGAATGAACTCCTGTAGAAAAGTACTCTTAATACATTGCCTTATGAGATCATCCTGTAAAAAAGTACTCTTTATGCATTGCCATATGAGATCCTATCAGAAACATGGCTATTGCTGTTACTTAAGGATTCTACTAACATTGATTGACAGTCCTTGTGAAGATTGTCAAGTTGGTACAGCTAATCATTTCAAGTAATTTTATGTTCAAGTTTCAAATCCAACAGCCGTTTTTATGTTATTGAAAACTTTTCCAATGCAAAGTTTTTTTTTTCAGCTATACCCTAGAACTCATCAAAAAGGCTCCAAATAATGAATCAGCATGGAATTACGCGAGAGGGTGAGTGTTTGCAATCATCTGTTTGCAATCATCTTTTTGCCATCACCTTTTTGTGCTACTCAGAGGCCTTTTTTTAAACGAAGAGGATTTTCGACCTCTGAGACTTTTGCCAAAGGCAAAAAATCGTCTTTGTTGTGTAGGAGCATCCTTGAGGGACTCACTTTTATGTGAAACATGTTTCTGAAACCTGTGTTTACTTTGGCTGCTTTCAGTTGAAGATTTTACTATAAAATTAAATGCAATAATCGCGATTAGACTGTCACTAGCTTCAGGCTAGCCTCTACATCGTTTTGCTGTGTGAAATTTCATAACTATGAAGTAAAGATGATGATGTAATATCCAAACCAGCACATTCAACCGCATATGAAGTTGCTAGGAGAGCTGCTGCAACTTAATTTTTTCTGTCCGGCAACTCTTTGCTTGAAGCTCGACAATTTCAATTTTTTTTGATGTATTTTCTTGCCTTTTTTCATTTTTTATGGCTACTTTTTATCGAGCTGGGCGTTTTTATTGAACTGGTTGGCTTCGATAATTACGTTGGCCCTGTGTAGCGTTTTTAGCAAGCAACATGTGCTTGAAGTGTAGGAAAGGGTACTCATCTCTTAGACTAGCGTATCATTAATATTTTATTGGACCATTCTCCTTGTTTCTTCACTGCTTATTTCGCTAGAAATGGTGAATCTAAATTGACAAACTCCGATTTGCACCCAGAAGAGTTGTTTCTTGTGAGAAAGCGCCCTTTGCGTCGCCGAAATCTCAACTAACACAATTTTCACGTTTTGGACTTTTGGCATATCAGATTTTCAAACATCTTGATTTCGCTGTCAATCTCTACAGCAATCGTAGATTTGTGTTTCAGTTTTGTAGTAAGAAGCTGCGAACTGCAGCGATTCTTAAGAGATTGTTCGATTATTGTTTCTATCAAGTTCAAACTTCGTTCACAATAAGGCTGCTCCTTGTTCTAAAAAGAAGCTTTAACTGAATTTGAATTCGATTATGGCGAATAGAAAATGTGGTAGACTATGGTAAGCCCGGCAGTAAAGTTGATTCAAAAATATTCTGCTCAACATGAAATTTTTGCTGAAAGGCTCATTGTTTATGTCTTTGTTACGCTAATTCTTTTTATATGTTAACTTTCCTATATGTGTAATTTTTCCGTTACGATACATTTTAATTGTAATTATATCCCTATACGGCTCAACTATACAGCTATACATACTATCCTGGCTTTTACCAGTTTAGTTTCAGTTTCATATATTTTAGATTCGCTACATGCATGAAAAATATTACAGAAAATGAATACATCGAAACGGAAAATTAATACAATATACAATACATAGAACTTGGATAATTGTATGTAGCGAATTACTTAAAGGAAGAACTCTCTCAATAGGTAAACCAATCGAGGAGAGAGCCCCCCTATCCTTCAATAAATTTGATTAAATGATTAAATGGAAATACAATGAAATGGAAAGCAGATTTTCAGTTGCTTTTTAAAGGATATTTTTAATGGAGCATTTCGCAGTTCCACAGGTAATGGATTCCGTAAAGCGAAGAGTCAAATTATTCACTGGCTTTGATATTCAGTGTAATTTCATCATCAAATGATTCTTCTCTTGAGTGACTTCTTCTTTGAGGCCTGCCATCTGGGGGCTTATCCTTAATTATCAGCCTATTTCTCAAAAAATGCAAGTTTACCTGCTTCTCTAGCTTTCTTCAACTTTGGTACGAAAGCGTTCCTCGTGTCCAAAGTTCTTTTGCTGAAATCTCCTATAAACTTGATTCCAGACGAATTGATCTTGCAGCTTTTATGATATTCTCTTTCTGCTTACAGTTCTTAATCTTGGCAATTATTGGTCTGGGCCTGGCTTTTACCTTGAACCCATCTGGGCATGTGAAGAATTCCCTTTTTTGACCAACTCTATGGGCACGCTCAATTTCTATCTCTTCTTCAATTTGAAGCGATGCCTTTACTTGATTTTTAAAGAATTTCTCAGACTGATCCCATGTCTCACCTGACTCACTTTCTGGCATTCCTAACAGCTTGAGGTTATTCCTTGTGCTTTGATTTTCCAGGTACTCGCTTAGGTTGTACAAAGAGTCTATGGCCGTCGATTGAGATTTTAAATGGACCACCATCTCTTAAGTGCTTGCCTCCAGTGACTTTACTTTCACTTGAATGTCTTCAATATCCTTTGAGGAACATTCCAATCAGTCATCTTTCAACTAAATGGAAAAAATAAACCAAATGAATCATATTCTGAAACTAACTGATCTTTTTATTTTTGTAAAAACAGAACGCAAGATGACCTTGAAATTCGATAGGCCTAGAGTCATGTACACGCAGGCGGTGGGCCTAAACTTACCAATCTCGGATGGCTGCTTCAGCAATTACATACTTACATGAACCGCTCTCTATGCTTACTTACGTGATCCTCTTCCAATTTGAGCTTCCCATTCTTGCTAAACATCGTAATCTGACAAAGATCTTACTCTTAGCCTACGGAAAAGAGATGAGGCCTAAAAAAACGAAAGGGAGTGAACTGCTTATTTATGTATACCTTGAGCATTTTACCACACTAAGCAAATGATGTATTCGATTTGTTATAGGAACAAAACGACATAAGGACATTAAGGACACGAACAATTACGCAAACACGGTTATTACTACATTCAGTTTTATATATTCTAAAATTCTCTACATTCAGCCCAAGTACATAACGCAACGGATACTAGCGAAGTAAAGCTAATTTAATTTTTTAATTCTAATATTGGTAACCTTAGGATCAGGGCTTTTATCATTATCAACTCTCGGTCATCTTGATAGCCCTTTATCTGCCAGTGTTAAAGATCTTTTCTGGCTCAAGCAAGCATGTTTTTCTCAGACCCTGAAAACGTGACCTGACCTCACGTTGCGTCAATTCTCTTTTGAAGTCAACTTTATCATCCGGTTAAGTGCATTTGCACCACCTGCTTGTCCATTCGCATAGCAACAGCTTCTATGTAGCAATAGTTGTGCAAATCAAAGCTGTGGAACCAGAAATGTAGCAATTGCGAATTTTCTGCGCCCTCTTCAAATATTATTGGCTGACAAAACTTAATATCAGCACTACCTTTTTTGCATTTTCCAAATGATCTCAGGGTAGGAACAGAAAAGGGATCCCAAAAGGATAGCTTCTATTAACAACTGTGTACGATTGAACCTTAGAGAAGCCGCGAAAATAGTTGGAAGCTTTCTAGAGGAGGTGATATCAACTGCTTATCCACTGAAACATCTACGTTCAATCAAGAACAATGAAAGCTAACTAGAGTGTTACTTTGCTTGCCCGATTTGATGTTTGTTTCAACTGCAGGAATACGCTGTTCATTGCTTTGTCTTGATCATAATAATCTCAGCTCAGTTACTTTCCTTTGTGTTTCTTGCTCAAAGTACTTATAAGCCACCTCATCATCAATAGAAATTGCTAATTGGTGATACAAATTTTCAAAGCGATTATAGATAATTTGTGCAGGATTTCCCGTTGGATTTGCCAGAATTCTTTTTTTCAGGGTCTTGTCCGCCGCAGGTGGCCTTTTAAAATGGCCTCCATTCAGAGAGGCTGTTCTTCAGATGCTCGAAAACAACATAGACTCGCCGTACCTCTTGTCTTTTCTTGTTGATTGTTATGAAGAACAACTCGAAAAAGAGGCCAACGAAGATTCGCTGAAGAAAGCTATGGAGGTATATTGCGATTTTCTTTTTGTGAATGAAGAACTGAGTACACTATGTAGTGGGTCGTGGGGGACGTATACATATATTGATTGATATTATCGATTAATTGATTTATTTGTTATTCAAATATATATATATACATGCCTAAGAGTTACGCACTTCGCGACTGAAAAGATGTTACAAATCGTGTCACCTAAATCAATACTTAGCGACGTAATAAAACCACAATTTCCAATTAAGACCCCGTTTACACGAGACCTGGACCAGATCGGATCCACAAGTATCCGGATACTTTTGGATCCGATCCCTGAAATGGCAATGCGTTTACACGGGAACGAATCCAGATGAATCCAATTGGTTACGCGCATGCGCTTTTCGAATATTGGCGCGCATTTGACGTTTTCAGAATTTCATGCGTGATCAAAACACAGTTCAACCTGAACATGGAGGGAGGTAACGCTAAAAGGGGAAAATTTTCTTGTACTGAAGAAAAAACTGCGCTACTTTTAAAAGTAGTATTGGACTACAAAACTGCAAATCTTGCAGGTGGACAGGATTGGGAAAATATGAGGACGAAGTACGACGACACATCGTCAATGTTTCGTGATAATTCTTCAACAAAGTAGTCTATCAAATTGATGTTCGGTTTTCTGGTGCCAAAAAGCCACGGACTACATGTTCAAACTACCTTGAAAAATATTCTGTCTCGCTCTCGATAGTTAACGTAGAAGGATCCGATCTGGATCAGATCCACCCGTTTACACGGGATCACCTCTGAAAGGGATCCCAAAAGTGTTCGGATAGCGGATCCAAAAGTATACGGATCCACCAGTTCCCGTGTAAACGCATAGCCTATCCGTTCTCTTTTGGATCCCATCCGGATCGGAGCAATTTCAATTCCAAAAAGCGAGTAAACAAAGAAAAGCTATCTTTGTCGCAACAAACAACTAAATTTCGCGGCTCAGCGTTTCTGCCCTCAGGTGCTGTAGGTGAAAGGTTCCAAGATCATTGCATCAGTCAATATTGAAAACTTTAAAATGGTTTCCATTCCAAGAAGCAACCCAAGTATGAAGTAGATCTACCTATGGGCATAGCGGATGCTATGAAACTACCTTCAAAGCATCAAAAGAAAACCGGCATTCTTCGTACACAGCGACAGGATACCTATGTTTTAAAGTATATCTTGATTTATGCTAGCGAATCAGTTACAGCCAGTGTCTCAAATCATGATGTTAAAAATCGGAAAGAGTTATCAAAACTTGTAGGTAATCCCACTGCCAATATGTATCGAGAAAAATAGAAGCTTTCCGGAATGACAGACGGTCAAGCTCATTTAAAAATACATCCAGCTCTTGCGCTGTTTCTGCTGCATTGATCACTTTGATTTATTTTCTGGGTCATTCATCTCTTTTGCAGCGACCTTATCCAGCATTTTAAAAGCTGCGTTGCATCATCCAGGTTATCTCAAGCTGCATTTTCAAGCCCTTTTGCAATTTTGCCCTCTTGTTGCTGCCTCTTTTTTGGGGGATAATGCTTATTCGAAGCGAGGAGGCGCTTACCCTAAGATTTACGCGTCATTCATTTCAGACAGTTTGTTTTCAATTTAAGTGAAAGAAATATACTAGCGAAATTATGTTGAAAGGTGCTTATGTGTCATTTGTGCAAAGATGAAATGTGGGCTTTCTATTTCAGCTTTGCGATCGCCTCTCGACCGACGCTGATTGCATTCGACGGAGTTATTGGGACTACGTAGGCAGGTCACTGAAGTGCAAGTATGGGGCAAAAGCATAAGCAGGGGCTAGGGCACCAAGAACTGCTTGGAAATGCCGATACCTCAATGATGAGAAGAAACTCGTCAGTTAGTCAAGAGCCAGAAAACGCAAGCTATTTAGGAGGATGACGTGCAGATTCAATGAAACAGCAAATGTACGTTTGACTGTTATAGGTTTGCGAAATATAACAATTTACGCTTTATAAGTATTATTTCATGCTGTTTGTTATGCATATCACATCATTAGCATTCACAGTTTGCTTTTATTAGTACAGACTTGTTGGATATTTTGGAAATAATGTCATTATTACGTTTCATTGAGCTTATCTGTCTCGATGTTTTTACTGCGATATGCTTGACTCAATCGCTGCCTGCATTTCTACAGAGAAAACCGGCTATGGCAAACACTGATATTGGGCCTCTCAGCAACCAGTATTTGTTTGTTTGTTTGTTTGTTTGTTTGTTTGTTTGTTTGTCTATGAGTGCATTTCAACCGAAATTATAAACATATTTTCATTAAATTTTAAAATAACGTCCGAAATGACACGAGAAAAAAATTGATCAAATTTTCTGAGTGATCCGAAGCATTGTCTATATCCAAGGCGCCATTATGAACATAAAGAACTGCTGTACTAATAAAATTACTAATGTGTTTCTGAATTATAGAAACATGTTTTCATGGGGAAAATCTAGAATATATCATCTAAAAATGCGATATAGGTGATAATGAGAATAGTAATAAAAGTGTTTATGTAGGAAGCTCTCTTTAAGAGTGTTTTCAGAAAGGTCCGGTTAAATTTAGATTGGCAATACTACCTTAATATTAAATAGAAATATAATTTTAAAGTTAAAACATGTTATTGATATTTATAATTACCTGTAAAATTGAGATAGGCCGTAAAGAATTTATATAAAAGGTTTTCAAACTCATAAATGTTGGGCGTCTGTCTAGTGGATATCGCTTCATTATACCATTCAGAGGCTACATTAACATAAACCACTGTTTTCCACGATTAAACCAAGCAAGCAAGGAGAGCTATCGTCACCCACGGAGGGAATTTGAAAGATCAACTCTATTTCAACAATTTCGATACTCTGATTACGAAAAGTCGATGTTATACGGAGGAATTCGGTGCCAGGAAGCCTCTATTTCATGTAGAAACCTCTTTTTCATCAAAATTCAACGTTTAACAGTAGTTTGTAAAATAATTGATTCTCGTCAGTTTCGATATGCTTATTTCAAAACTTGACCCCATAGAACGGAATTCTGAACGTATTGGTGGTACCTTTTTCATGCTTAAAACAGCGTTTTCATGAAATCAGTAAAAAACCTAAGACATGTAGTTCAACTTATTTCCTCTGCGTGCTAATTCCAGAAATTAATGGCAGCAGTTGACGACTAGCTTTTCTCAAGATGTTTATCTGCCGGTCAAAAAACTTTCCCAAAATCTGTCAAACTTGATAAATATTCGATGCAAGTGCTCATGTGAGTAGCATAGTTTTCCCTATACCTAAAGTCAGCGTAACAGCGTTGACTGCGAATAATATTAGAATGCCAAAACGTTCTTCTTTTACAAGAAATTGCACATGGTTTTATGCGGTCACTCTCAAGCTAACTGCCAAGCTTGTTGCAAAGCTTACTTTTGCGTTCATGCTAAATTCATTCTTGCATTAAGCCTTTATGTCCTGCGTTCGATTTCTTTGGAAATAATGAAGTAGCAGGAGTTACGTGGTTTGAGTTTTCAAAGGAAAGTTTTGTACCTTGACTCGCCTGACTCGGATGAGTGTCTTTCCTTTTGCTATAAAGCATATTGTGTTTCTTCAAATCCTTTTTGATTTTTGATCTCTTAGGGGTTAGGGTTTATCGCAGTATAGGTTTCTGTAGTAGTGCATCGGATCCCTGGTAGTGGAAAAGTGAACGTTTCTTGTCCAATCCCTGCCCATAAAGTTGCTTTGTTACTTGGAGTCCATCAAGTTACATTTAAGGTTTAGTGTTTTATGTAGGTTAGGTGGAGCAACTTATGCTGTTGCACCAGCGGCTAATCGTCGCTTCTTATGAAAAGGGAAAGTAACCTCAACACCTGATTTGATCAAGGATGTGGCTATTTTTCTTCAAAGTCAATGAATTCCTTTCTTCATGTTTTCTTTCCCGAGTAGGGAATTAAATAGAGGAAAACGATCTGCCAGCTTGCTCTACTCACCCAAAATATCGGATTTAAATATGTGAATGTAAACTACAGCGAAATAAATGCTGAGATAGGAACCGGGCAATATCAACTCCCCCGACATGGTCAAAAACCGTTAGCCTCATAACTGATATTTCCACGAACAGAGTTCAGAGTCACAGAAAACCAAATTGTTTTGAAGCAGAATTTATTTTAAGTTTCAATGCTACAACCTCTACATATATCAGCTTGGCATAATGCATCAAAAAGCAGGCACTTAATATGCCTAAGTCAGTAGTATTGAGACCTCATCCTTATCTTGAAAAGCGTCGTTACACTTAATATAAATGAAGGTCGATGGGTCAATGAATACAAAATTAACCTTGGAGAGAACTAAGTTTTATTTGAAAACTGTAAATTTACTAAAATCAACCTTGGAACTATCAGAAATGTCCTTAAGAATAAAAAAAAAAGAAAGTAAATAAAGATTTGTAATAAAGGTCGAATTTCGAATTGGGGATAGGCTGATAGAACCAAACGATAATCAAAACGGCGAGCCAATTTGATCCGCGAGTCACGTTTATTTAAAAGCTAAGCTACAGCAAAAGGAATAAAAGATCTGAAATGAATCTATATCGGTGTAATACAACTCGCTTGTTTTGAAGGTATTTACAAAATCACTCTGACATATCAACGCGTTAAATGAAATCTTTATATTAATGTGATTATGTTCGTGTTCGTGTGCGTGTGTTTGGGTGTATCTTTTCCGTATCTTCTCGGTGACGTAAAATGTTCACATTTTAGATACGTTAAATTTTTTCTACTGACATGTCAATGTTGATACTGCTATTTCATATCCCGAAATGTAATTGATAACACTTATGTACAGAAGGGCCTAGTTTTTTGTTGATGACGTCGTTACACTTAAAACAAAGAACCCATCACGCCCCTGCGACGACAATGAGTACAGTATCCAAGGAGTGTATTCTGATCTTCTATCAACTGCATTTGTTTTGCCGACATCCAAAGTCTTATGCCAGCACGATGGGGCATTGGGCAGAAATCCTTGCATGGGGACATATCTCAAGAGTGTCTCTGAAGAAACCAGTACTCGCAAAGCTGGAATGAGCCATTTTTCTTTTTTTAATTTTCTTTCTTGGAATGAGTTTTAAATCTACATATTTACATTGAAGTATCGCATGTTTGAATAAAGCTCCAACACCTAAACTGGATATGCATGCGCATATGTCATGAAAAGGGCAAGCTTTTTCAACAGTACATTCGCAGGGGACATTTTCTTAAACGCAAGAATGTCCCTCGAGGATGCATGACAATTTCGATTGGTTTCTGATTGACGTGGCTCTCGCAAGGTGATTTTCAAGCACACAACTGCTCCATCTTTCAAATCAACAGTTTTTGCACAAGCAGCAACACGAATCCAGAAAGTAAATGATGATTTGCCAACACAGCTTCGAAAATAGGAAGATTCATCGTTTGCAAAGTACGTAACCGCAAATATATTGTCCAGGTTTACTTATATTTCATAATATTTTACTTTTTACCGCATCATGTTGTATTACTATGCAGCAGAAACAGACCTTTGCAGGTCATTTCTAATCAACGTTTTGTTCAGTGAATCAAATTATTAACCACGTAAATATCGTTAATTTCAGCAGGCAGTTAAGCGTTGTTATTGCAAGATTAAGAACAGTGAATTGCCAAAGTCTCGGATAAAAGCAAATGTGCAACACGCGGACAACGAAGCGATCTGTCGGCCAGCTGCATTCGAATTGTCCAAACCAAGTCAAGGTATGTCCTAACACGTTGCCTTTATGATTCTCAAACTTTAATAATGAACGTGTCAATGTTAGATATTGAAAATCATTTGTCAAGAGAAAGTACTTTTGTTGCAATATTCCAATCTTGCGCCTTTAGTCGGTAATATGTCCCAAACCTCAGCTCCCTGAATATCAGGTCCTTGTCATGTTTCTCAACATGCAAACAAATTAAATCGATGTGAGTTGAGTGTCGCCTCTAGCGGCGCGAATTGGAAGGGGCGTGGATAGGGTATCGTTATTTGCCATGTTCCCATTGCACATGTCTCCATCGTTTGACTGGTTCGACTGGGATTGGTTGTTCGATGTTGTTCGATGCCGCATGTGGAAACTTGTGACAGTCTCACTTCGCAAACGAGGCAGTTTCCAGCGAATCAGTGCATTAAATGACCGGCGAAAATCCGGACTTCGTACCGCATAGACCCAGAAATTCATCATTGAATTGGTATAATGCATGGCTTTAAACAGCCTGGTCAGTGATTCTGGAATCTTGGCGCACCAGTCATAACAATTGTAATAAGTGATGCTGAGGGCGAAAAATGGCAACCAGCAAATCAAGAATAGTCCTATGATAATAAGAATCATGCGAGCGATTTTCATATCTTTTTTAACTCTTTTGTTGCTCATCGAAGAACTGTCTCGGGCAATTTTGAATATAATAATGTAACATCCAATTATCAGCAAGGTCGGTAAAGCGAAGTCCAGGGTAAACAGGAGATACAAGTACTCGGCATTCTTCATGTACCGTGGAACAAGAAAACCGAATCCAGCAAATATCAAGCCCAGAATCCAAGTGAGGCTAAGCACCAAGGCAACCGGCTTCCACGTCAAATTAAAATGGTAGGCTGGATACTTGACGGCGATAAGTCTCTCAAATGTTAACGAAACAAGGTTAAGAATTGATATAGTGCCAAACAGAATGTCCATTGACTGGAATGCCTGATATTCGGCTTTTTCTCTTGTGCGCTGCTCGATAGGCACTGAAATAAAATTAATAAGAAATTTGAATGAATTGAGTTCACGAGCCATAACCAATTTTTTAAGTCTATCAAATTTCAGTTTAGGTTATCAAATTTTTTGTCAATGTGAGGGCCATGTTTTTTCCAAAAATTTCCAAATAATCCATCTTTTTTAATGTTAGGGCAAGGGGTCTCGAGAAAACATGAGAAAATTGGGCGCAAAACGTGAAAAAAACTTTTTAGCCTTATTGTTTGGTGTTTCACTGACCGAAATTTATCAAAGTCTCCTGATTTGCTTGTATTGTATAAATTATTTAATGTTAGATTTAACAATAATTGAAATACACTAAACAAGACTACTATAAAGTAATTTCTAGGATTGCATAAATTACTTGCTGCGAAAAAACGAAAAAGGAACCGGGAATGAATTCCAGATTTTAGGCCCTTGAAAACTTAATGTTCCTCTACCAAATTTGGTATTTCTAAGTTTTGCTATGGTTAAGAGTTTCTGAGTTGAAAGTTGTGACCTGTTGTTTTGGGTACAAAAATAATCTTTCATAAAGATAGTATATGATTGTTAATTGCTTTATAAACTTAAAGTGCTAAAATTCTGACTAATTGGATATAGATGGTAGTTTCTTTCGAGTTAGCAAGTTAATCTTTGTGCGAAGATGAACAGTCCAAATTAGTTAGTCGTAATGCCAACTCGCTAACTTTCTCTAGCTCACTTCCTTTTCCACATATCATTCATATCAATGGGCAATATTGAAATGAAGTAGTATAAATGAATTCATAATTTTTTGTTGTGGGGCACATAATACGCTTGAGGAATATCTTCAACTTAAAGTGTTTACCGTTAATTAAATGTTGGTTTATCGCGGGAGTGGTCGAATAGAGGCAGGTGTTAGAAGGCGTTCGTAAATAATTAAGGCTAGGTCATTAAAAATAAATATAAAAAGAGAAGGTCTTTCCTTTTTTTATATTTTTTTTTGTTAATAACTTTGTTACCCTATGTCCTATGTATTCTAAGTAACGGCTAATCCGTGGTGCCCCTTGTAAAAGGACGTTTAAAAGAGGGAGCGTTTATTCACTTAGTTGACATGAAGATGAGGTTGATTTGTGGAAGAGGGTCGGCGTTGCAATTTGTGAACGCTCAGCTGTATCAATGTCATTTATGTTTCCCATTGAAATTTGTTCGTTTTTATTTTTGTTGTTAAATCGATTGTATGAAGCTTCTGAAGAGCTTCTGGCGCTCTCGGGGGTCGCTATATAACATACATTGCAACAAGCTAAAAAGAAATAAGAACATTTTTACGTCATTGCGGTAGAAATATGCTGCTAAGATAACACGAACAAGGTATAACAAATTTAATTCGTAGAAAGTAAGTGCTTGTTGACTGGCGTCACAAAATAAACCGTTAATATTACAAAGTTTAAATCGCATAAAGAAGCAGAAATACTATGGATAATACACAAGTAATCCAACTTACACGTTGATCCACGTAGGATTATTGGTTGGACAATGACCTAAAGGCGAGGACTAATTCATACCCAGGTGAACGCAGAACTCATTGAAAGTAATGTGAGAGGAAGAATGGCGCAGTTGATTACTAAAAACCCCTAGCCACTCGCATAGTTTACCTTTTCCGCCGACACGACTAAGGATTTAATTTTATGTGAACGTATTCCAAAAAAGCTGAACTAAAATTCGACCTTGCTTGTGTAGGTTTTGACGCATTCTTGCTTCCCGAACAAATGTTGCCCTTTAGCAGAATCGTTATTTTATTTGCGCATTCTGATTTTAGCAAAAATAGGCGTGACTGTGCATTGTATGGAATCGTTTAGTTCTAATGCTCGAGGAAACGTGTTTGGTTCTAGCAA